AGGAATATGAAAACAAACTATATTTACTTGTCATAATAATAAACAAGAGATTACTTTCCTTGATGTTACAGTGTACAAGACACATAACAACTTAAGGGTAAGGAATTACAGGAAATCCACTGATAAGAATTCAATCATGCACTACGCCAGTTTCCATTATCATAGACTAAAAACAAACCTTCCTTATTCTTAACTCATGAGATGCAATTCCAGCTCCCCCAAGGATCTGGATTCAGAAATTTGTACCTTTAAGAAACAATTCAAAGATAGGTTCTTGTAGGTTTTTTCGGGCTATAGGGCCATGTTCTAGAGGCATTTCTCCTGACGTTTCGCCTGCATCTATGGCAAGCATCCTCAGAGGTAGTGAGAAATAGGTAGTGGAAATAGGAAAATGGGTTTATATATCTGTGGAATGGCTGGGGTGGGGCAAAGAGCTGTCTGCTGAAGCTAGGTGTGAATGTTTCAGCTGACCACCTTCATTAGCATTTGAAGGCCTGGCTGAGCCTGGGAAAATGTTCTGTTGTTCTGTTTTATATTATTATCTTATATTATTATCTTCTATTATGTTATTGTGATTATATTACTAGTAGTATTAGATATATTATAATAAAATATACATCTTATTATAATGTTACATAATATATTATATATAATATTATATCATAGTTTCTCAAGTCGCTCCTGACATGAAAAAATAATTATATTTTATTATACTTATTATATATATATTATCTTCTATCATGCTTGCTTGCTTGCATGCTGCAAGTTGCTTCTGGTTGCTTCTGAGGCGAGAGAATCAGCCGTCTATGAAGACGTTGCCCAGGGGACACCCGGATGTCTTGCAATCCTGCGAGGAGGCTTCTCTCATGTCCCCCACCTCACATGCCTCATAGGAAACCTGCTACAAAACAGGAGCTTTTTTGTTGAGTTCCAGGGCCAGAGAAGCAGATGGCGGAAACAGAAGAACAGCCTGCCTCAGGGGAGCATGCTTGCTCCATCCATGTTCAACATCTACACAAACGACCAGCCACTGCCAGAAGGGACAGAGAGTTTCATCTATGCTGATGACCGTGCCATTACCACTCAAGCAGGGAGCTTTGAGATGGTTGAACAGAAGCTCTCCGAAGCTCTAGGTGCTCTTACTGCCTATTACAGGGAAAACCAACTGATCCCTAATCCATCTAAAACACAGACATGCGCCTTTCACCTTAAGAACAGACAAGCATCCCGAGCTCTGAGGATGACCTGGGAAGGAATCCCACTGGAGCATTGCAGCACACCCAAATACCTGGGAGTCACTTTGGACCGTGCCCTAACCTACAAGAAGCACTGCCTGAACATCAAGCAAAAGGTGGGTGCTAGAAACAACATCATACGAAAGCTGACTGGCACAACCTGGGGATCACAACCAGACACAATGAAGACATCTGCCCTTGCGCTATGCTACTCTGCTGCTGAGTATGCATACCCGGTGTGGAACACATCTCACCACACTAAAACAGTAGATGTGGCTCTTAATGAGACATGCCGCATTATCACAGGGTGTTTGCGCTCTACACCACTGGAGAAATTACACTGCTTAGCCGGTATTGCACCAACTGACATCTGCCAGGAAGTAGCAGCCAATAGTGAAAGGACCAAGGCAGAGACATCTCCAGCTCATCCCCTGTTTGGGTATCAGCCAGCACGTCAACGACTTAAATCAAGACATAGTTTTCTTAGATCTACAGAGACACTCACTGGAACACCCCAGCAAGCAAGAGTCCAAAAGAGGCAGTCCCAAACCCAGCACCTCAATCCGTGGGTGATACCAGATGAGAGACTCCCTCCTGGGCACACAGAAGACTGGGTGACTTGGAAGGCACTGAACAGACTGCGCTCTGGCACCACGAGATGCAGAGCCAACCTTCAGAAATGGGGCTACAAAGTTGAATCCATGGCATGCGAGTGCGGAGAAGAACAAACCACTGACCACCTGCTGCAATGCAACGTGAGCCCTGCCACATGCACAATGGAGGACTTTCTTGTGGCAACACCAGAGGCACTCCAAGTGGCCAGATACTGGTCAAAGGACATTTAATCAACTACCAAGCTTGCAAAATCTGTTTTTTTTTAATCTGTTTGTTTGTTTTGTTCTGTTAGAAATGTAATACAATGGGATGGTTGCTGATGACACGATAAATAAAAATCTTCTATCATATCAAGGTAAAGGTAGTCCCCTGACATTAAGTCCAGTCATGTCTGACTCTGGGGTGTGGTGCTCATCTCCATTTCTAAGCCGAAGAGCCAGCGTTGTCCGTAGACACCTCTAAGGTCATGTGGCCGGCATGACTGCATGGAGCGCCGTTACCTTCCCGCCGGAGCGGTACCTATTGATCTACTCACATTTGCATGTTTTCGAACTGCTAGGTTGGCAGAAGCTAGGGCTGACAGCGGAAGCTCACGCCGCTCCCCGGAATCGAACCTGCGACCTTTTGATCAACAAGCTCAGCAGCTCAGTGCTTTAACCCACTGCGCCACCGGGGGCCCCAATGTTACATAATATATAATATATAATATTATATCATAGTTTCTCAAGTCGCTCCTGACATGAAAAAATAATTATATTTTATTATACTTATTATATATATATTATCTTCTATCATATTAGGGTAAAGGTAGTCCCCTGACATTAAGTCCAGTCATGTCTGACTCTGAGGTGTGGTGCTCATCTCCATTTCTAAGCCGAAGAGCCAGCGTTGTCCGTAGACACCTCCAAGGTCATGTGGCCGGCATTGACTGCATGGAGTGCCGTTACCTTCCCACCGGAGCGGTACCTATTGATCTACTCACATTTGCATGTTTTCGAACTGCTAGGTTGGCAGAAGCTAGGGCTGACAGCGGAAGCTCACGCCGCTCCCCGGAATCAAACCTGCGACCTTTCGATCAACAAGCTCAGCAGCTCAGTGCTTTAACCCACTGCGCCACTGGGGGCTCCATATATATATATTATCTTCTAACTTCTATCATATTAGTTATTATTATACATATTACTTGTAGTAGTATTATATACCCAGCTGTGGCCACTTGGGGTGCTGTGTCCTTCCAGCCAGTTTCACATCTGCGCATGCGCTGCTGCTAGTTCGCCTCCACGCTGGGGTCTGTTTAGATTGGAAAAAGCCCTGCTTTTCCCACCGCGGCCGCTGGGAGCGCTGTGCTCCTCCGGCCAGTTTCACCACGCCGGTGCTTGTTCGCCTCTACGGTGGGGTAGATTGAGAAAAGCCCTGCAGCTCCCATTTCAGCCGCTGGGAGCGCTGTGACTTTCCTGCCAGTTTCCCTTCTGCGCTGGTTCGCCTTCACGCTATTTATTTATCGTGTCATCAGCAACCATTGTATTACAATTCTAACAGAGCAAAACAAACACACAAATTAAAAAGAAAAAGAAAAAAAACACATAGATTTTGCAAACTTGGTAGTTGATTAAATGTCCTTTGACCAGTATCTGGCCACTTGGAGTGCCTCTGGTGTTGCCGCAAGAAGGTCCTCCATTGTGCATGTGGCAGGGCTCAGGTTGCATTGCAGCAGGTGGTCAGTGGTTTGCTCTTCTCCACACTCGCATGTCGAGGATTCCACTTTGTAGCCCCATTTCTGAAGGTTGGCTCTGCATCTCGTGGTGCCAGAGTGCAGTCTGTTCAGCGCCTTCCAAGTCGCCCAGTCTTCTGTGTGCCCAGGGGGGAGTCTCTCATTTGGTATCAGCCATTGGTTGAGGTTCTGGGTTTGAGCCTGCCACTTTTGGACTCTCGCTTGCTGAGGTGTTCCAGCGAGTGTCTCTGTAGATCTTAGAAAGCTATTTCTTGATTTAAGTCATTGATGTGCTGGCTGATACCCAAACAGGGATGAGCTGGAGATGTCTCTGCCTTGGTCCTTTCACTATTGGCTGCTACTTCCCGGCGGATGTCAGGTGGTGCAATACCGCCATACAGTGTAATTTCTCCAGTGGTGTGGGGTGCAGACACCCTGTGATAATGCGGCATGTCTCATTAAGAGCCACATCTACTGTTTTAGTGTGGTGAGATGTGTTCCACACTGGGCATGCATACTCAGCAGCAGAGTAGCATAGCGCAAGGGCAGATGTCTTCACTGTGTCTGGTTGTGGTCCCCAGGGGGCTTCAGCCCCCTCCAAATTCTCATGGTGGTTCGCGAAAAGGCCTTACTGGTGCATTATTTAAACTGTTATGTTTATTCATATCATGATCTGATCACCATACTCAATATATCCCATATGCATGGAGGGGGTATTGGGGTAATGATACAAAAGGTTTGCTAGGGTAGACCCTCTTTCACTCAGACTCAGCCCCCCCCCCAAACTCAGCCCCCCCGAACCCCCCTGAAAAAAACTCAGCCCCCCCCCCCGAAATGAAATCCTGGCTACGGGCATGGGCAGATGTCTTCACTGTGTCTGGTTGTGATCCCCAGGTTGTGCCAGTCAGCTTTCGTATGATGTTGTTTCTAGCGCCCACTTTTTGCTTGATGTTCAGGCAGTGCTTCTTGTAGGTCAGAGCACGGTCCAGAGTGACTCCCAGGTATTTGGGTGCATTGCAATGCTCCAGTGGGATTCCTTCCCAGGTAATCCTCAGAGCTCGGGATGCTTGTCTGTTCTTGAGGATGAAAAGCACATGTCTGTGTTTTAGATGGATTAGGGATCAGCTGGTTTTCCCTGTAATAGGCAGTAAGAGCACCTAGAGCTTCGGAGAGCTTCTGTTCAACCATCTCAAAGCTCCCTGCTTGAGCAGTAATGGCACGATCATCAGCATAGATGAAACTCTCATTAAGAGCCTTCACGCTAGGGTCTGTTTAGTAAAAGCCCTGTCGTTCCCGCCGCGGCCGCTGGGAGCGCTGTGTCCCTCCTGCCAGTTTCCCTTCTGCGCATGCGCTGAAGCTACTCCGCTTCCACGCTGTGTTCTATTTAGATTGGGAAAAAAACCGCCGTTCCTGCTTCGACCTTTTGAGGCGCTGTTTCTATTCCTCCAGCCACTTCCGGTTCCCCTCATCCTCCTCATTCGACGCTGGAGAGAACCATGGTGAGCCCCCTTTTTCTCACCTGGGGCCTTGGAACCCCCTTTGCCTCGCTTGAGGGCACCCTAAACTTCCGTGATACACGCAAGAATGGTCCCTTCACACGTTCACGGGCGAAGATGCGTGTCACGAACTTGAGGCCTCTCCCATTGAACTCTATGGGAAGGGGGAGGAGTCAACGCATATTCATTATTAGCCATTTGTTATTGTTTATGATTTGCACGAATGTTTTGCCCCTATTAATAGCACTGTGATGGTTCCTATTACTTCTATTATTTCTATTATAATGATGACTGCTATTAATACTTCTGTTGTTATTATTCCTACATTTATTGTTAGTATTAATTCTGCTGCCAGATTATTCCCTTTGTTATTATTAGCAGTTATGATTCTGATTAATCTAACTGCTATTAATACTGTTATGGTTATAATTCCTATATTGTTGGTATTAATGCTGCTATATTATTCCTATTATTGCTACCAGTATTATTATTTTTATTGCTATTAGTACTGCTATTGTATTGTCGAAGGCTTTCATGGCCGGAATCACTGGGTTGTTGTAGGTTTTTTCGGGCTATATGGCCATGTCTAGAGGCATTCTCTCCTGACGTTTCGCCTGCATCTACGGCAAGCATCCTCAGAGGTAGTGAGGTCTGTTGGAACTAGGAAAAGGGTTTATATATCTGTGGAATGACCAGGGTGGGACAAAGGACTCTTGTCTGCTGGAGCTAGGTGTAAATGTTTCAACTGACCACCTTGATTAGCAAATAATCCTACTTCCAACAGACCTCACTACCTCTGATGCTTGCCATAGATGCAGGCGAAATGTCAGGAGAAAATGCCTCTAGAACATGGTCATATAGCCATAAAAAACCTACAACAACTCAGTGATTCCATGAAAAGCCAAGAAAGCCTGCGACAATACATTACTACTACTACTACTACTACTACTACTACTACTACTACTAATGCAAATCAAGGTGATCAGCTGAAACATCCGCAGCTAGCCCCAGCAAACAAAAGTCCTTTGTCTAACCCTGGTCATTCCACAGATATATAAACCCTTTTCCTAGTTCCAACAGACCTCACTACCTCTGAGGATGCTGCCATAGATGCAGGCGAAACGTCAGGAGAAAATGCCTCTAGACCATGGCCATACAGCCCAAAAAAACCTACAACAACCCAGTACTGCTATTGCTATCATTCTTATATTTATTGTTGAAGTTAACACTGCTGTCGTATTATTATTATTATTATTATTATTATTATTATTATTATTATTGGTGTTATTATTATTGCTATTAGTGCTGCTGTTTTGAGATGGTTTTAAACATCTGATTTAAAGTAGATGTAACTGTTTGTGTATATTTATAGTTATTTAATGTTCCGGCGTGGAATGCTTGTCGATAATATGCTGAGTCCCCTTCGGGGTGAGAAGACGGAATATAAATGTAATCAATAATAAATATAGAAAGAATAACAGTAGCAGCACTAATAGCATTAGGAATATAATAATTGTAACACTGATAATAATAGTCATACTTAGTAATGGATAGTAATGGATGGCACTTGGGCTCTCTTCCAACTCTAGGATTGTATGATTTTATCCATCGTACATATCCATCCATCCATTTGTTTATTTTAGGAACGGATGGACCTTGAGCTCTTTTCCAACTCTAGGATTCTGTGATATTATTCGTCCATCTTTCTGTCCGTCCTTCCATCCATCTATCTCTCCATCCATCCTTCCATCTATCTGTCTAACCATCCATTTTAGGACTTGATGACTCTTGAGTTGTGTTCCAACTCTAGGATTGTATGATTCTGTCTATCTATCTATCTATTTATCTATCAGGGTTGGACTGGGTAGCCCTTGGGCTCTTTTCCAACTGTAGGATTTTGTGATTTTATCTGTCCATCCATCTGTCCATCTTAGGACTTGATGACTCTTGAGCTGTGTTCCAACTCGATGATTGTATGATTCTTTCTGTCTGTCTATCTAGTTTTCTATCAGGGTTGGACTGGATGGCCCTTGGGCTCTTTTCCAACTGTAGGATTCTGTGATTCCAACCTTAGATGCATGGATGGCTCTCTCCATCCATGAATCCAGCCATCTCTCCATCTATCCCTCCATCCATCTATCCCTCCATCCTTTAATCTGTCCAACCATCTTAGGACTTAATGGCTCTAGGATTGTTTGATTCTATCTATCTACGAGGTTGGACTGGATGGCTCTTGGGCTCTTCCAATTCTGGGATTTTGTTTACTTATCGGTCGGTCTGTCTGTCTGTCTGTCTGTCTGTCTGTCTGTCTGTCTGTCTGTCTGTCTATCTATCTATCTATCTATCTATCTATCTATCTGTTGTTCTATCTATCTAAAGGGCATTGGACTGGATGGCCCTGGGGATCTCTTCTAGGTCTTGAATTCTCTCTCCTCTCTCTTTCTTCCAACTCTAGGATTAGAGCTCTCTCTCTCTCTCTCTCCCCCCCCCCCCCCCCCGAAGAGATGGGATTGAATGGCCCTTGGTCTCTCTTCCAACTCTGGGATTTTATCTATCAGTGTATTTGTCAGTCTATCTTAAGGGCATTGGACTGGATGCCCCTGGGGGAATCTCTTCCAGGTCTAGGATTCTGTCTCTCTTTCTTCCAACACTAGGATTATATATCTCTATCTCTACCTACCTACCTAAAGGGATGGGACTGGATGGCCCTTGGGATCTCTTCCAGCTCTGGGAATCTATCTGCTCTCTCTCTCTCTCTTCCATTTCTCTGATTCTATGCTTCTCTGACACTGCCGAGAATCACCCTATTGAAGAAACAATTGTCTAGCCCAGCCTATGTTGGCAAGGCATCCATCGTACAGGCAGGGGAGATTGGAAGGCCAGTGCTGTTCCTCTTTGCCTGATGTTTTTCTTTTGTTCCTCTCCCTCTGGCTCTGCTTTCTCCAGGAGAAGACCCCCGCCACGGCCGCCACTCTCCCAGACGCAGAGCTGCCACTTCCCGAACCTGGGCTCTCCCCCACCCGCATCAGAGGCAAAGCCCAGGAGGAGAAGTTGCTGCCGCCGGTGCTGGAAATGCCCCCCAGGCCTTCCTTGAGCGGTAAATATAAGTCAACATTGGATGATCCCTTCCCAATAAGGGAGTGTGTATATATATGCCCTTGCAATATGGAGTGTTTAGTGGTCTGTTGGAAGTGAGGCAAGCTGAGTGTGTGTGTGTGTATGTATGTATGTGTATATATATATATATATACACACACACACACACACACACACACACACACACATACACACTTGTGGAATAATGTCCAGGGTGGGAGAAAGAACCCTTGTCTGTTTTGAAGTAAGTGTGAATGTTGCAATTAGTAAGCTTGAATAGCATTGAGTAGCCATGAAGTTTGCAAAGTCAATCAGTGAAGGCATTTGCACAGCTTGGCTATTTGTTGTCTGGAGTTCTCCTTTTTCTGAATGGTGTTCCTTATTTACTTGTCTTGATTCTGGTGTTGTTGTTTTTTAAAAAATACTGGTAGCCAGATTTTGTTTCTTTTCATGGTTTCCTCCTTTCCGTTGAAATTATCCACGTGCTTGTGGATTACAATGGCTTCTCTGTGTGAATTTCTGCTCTTAATGTTCTCAGCGTCATATATATAGGAAGCCATATTATAGACTTTCTGCTTTCAATATTATGAATTTCTGGTCTTAATGTTCTCAGCTTCATATATATAGGAAGCCAAGTAGATCCAACTCCATATTTTGGACTTTCGGCTTATAATGTTGTGAATTTCTGGTCTTAATGTTCCCAGTGTCATATATATAGGAAGCTGTGTATATTGACTCTTTTATAGAACTACATTTTAATATGTGTGTTTGTAGAATTTTTACAACATGTTTTGACTGTGCTATGACACCTGCCTCAAGCCACAAGGAGAGGCGGATAAGAAATATTATTATCATCATTATCTTAATGGCTGAAATTCTGCACATAAGCAACACTTGTAGATCTTTTGAGTTGTGCAAATTTCTTTTGATATCTTATTTTTATAAAGCTGGTTTGAATCTCCCTTGCAGAGGGAAAAAGTGAGGTATTATTATTATTATTATTATTATTATTAATAATAATATTTTATAGTGTCGGTTTGAGTCTCCTTTGTGGAGGGAAAAAGCAGGATATAAATTATTATTATTATTTACATAAACATAATAATAATATTTTATAATGCTAGTTTGAGTCTCCTTTGTAGAGGGAAGAGTAGAGCATAAATAATAATATAAATAAACATAATAATTGTATAATCCTGGTTTGAGTCTCCTTTGCAGAGAGAAAAAGTGGGGTATAAATAAATAATAAAAACTTAATAATATTGTATAATGCCGGTTTGTGTCATCTTTGTGGAGAGAAAAAGCAGGGTAATAATAACAATAATAATAATTTATACTCCGCTTTATCTCTCCAGAAGGAGACTTCAAACGACTTAAAATGAAAGTATTAGCATACAATTTACAATAATAATAATATAAATAAAACTAATAATAATATTTTTATAATGCCAGTTTGAGTCTCCTTTGTGGTGGGAAAAAGTGGGGCAATAATAATAATAATAATAATAATAATAATAATAATAATAATTTTATAATGCTGGTTTGAGTCTCCTTTGTGAAGGAAAAAAGTGGGACATAAATAATAATAATAATAATAATAATAATAATAATAATAAATTTTATAATGCCACAACACTTGTATACCTTTCCAGCTGTGCAGATCTCATTCAATATCTTATTGTAAGGATAATTTAATAACTTTTAAACTTTGAATATTAACTGTGAATTTTTAAATAATATTTTTATTTAATTCTGTTTTGATGTTTGCGTATTCATGTATATTTAACTGGATGCTAGTGCTTTTATGTTAAGCAGCTTTGAGTCTCCTTCAGTAGAGATAAAGTGGGGTATAAATATAGCAACAACAACAGTAATCATGATGTTAGGCTCAAGAGCAGCCGGATTTCTTCGCCCATTTCTCAGGCAGAGTTTCATATTTTTGCAAGTAGAAAGAGAAGGATTTTTTGGAGACATAAGTACCATCTTCACTGACAAATGGGCTTCTTTCTCCCTTCAGGTTCTCACAATGTTGGGCTTTGGGGCATCCAGAGCCAGCATTCGAGTGGTATTCGAAACCAGGACCTGCGGCTTCCAAAACACAGACCTGCCCCAGGTAAGACATGCCCAGGTGGGAGTTTCTCATCCTGTCTCAGCTACTGATTGAGGTTTCAGGTTTTGGACTCTCGCTTGCTGAGGTGTTCCTGCGAGTATCTCTGTAGATCTTAGGGAGCTGCTTCTTTATTTAAGATGTTGTCATGCTGGTTGATATCCAAATAGAGGATGGGCCGGAGATGTCAATGCCTCGGTCCTTTCATTATTGGCTGCTACTTCCCAATGGATATCAGGTGGTGCAATATTGGCTAAACCATATAATTTCTCCAGTGGTGTAGGGCGTTGACATCCTGTGATAATGCAGCATGTCTCATTAAGAGCCACGTCCACTGTTTTAATGTGAGATGTATTCCTCACTGGGCATGCGTACTCAGCAGTAGAGCAGCAAAGTACAAGGGCAGATGTCTTCATTGTCTCTGGTTGTGATCCCTAGGTTGTGCCAGCCAGCTTTTATGCAGTGTTATTTCTAGCACCCATTTTTTGCTTAATAATCAAACAGTGCTTCTTGTAAGTCAGAGCACAGTCCAGAGTAACTCCCAGGCATGTTGGCGCACCACAATGCACTAGTGGGATTTCTTCCCAGGTATTCCTCAGAGCTTGAGATGCTTGTCTGTGTTTTATATGTATTTGGAATCAGCTGGTTTTCCCTGTAATAGGCAGTAAGAGCACCTAAAGCTTCGGAGCTCCCTGCTTGGGCAGTGATGGCAAGATCGTTAGCATAGATGAAACTATCCATAATTTCCTTATATAGTAGGATCTCTGTTAACTGGAACTCAAGCAACTGGCTGCCTTTCTTTGTCTTAATTTGCTTTTAACAGACATATTTCAATATTAATATCTAGTCAATATGGCATTTATAGTGTATGTGAGACAGTATGAGGTCTGTTTTGAACAGCAACTCTCAAGCAACCAGAAATGAGTTGAAATGGGGTCTCTTCCAGCTCTGGGATTCTAGGACCCTATAGCCCTATTTCTCTCCATGAATCTTCTAATGTGTATGAGTCTGGAAGACCATCCTTTGGGAGGGCTTTGATGGTGCCCTCCTGTTTGTCAGAAGAGGGTTGGACTGGATGTCCCTTAGAATCTCTTCCAACTGTGTGTTTTTAGTAGATTCTGAACAGCCATATGTTGGGAGAGCTTGGAGGGTGTCTTCCTGCATAGTAGAATGAAAATGGATTGGATGGCCATCTATCAGGAGGGATTGGATGGTGTCTCCCTGCACAGTAGAATGAAGTTGAATTGGATGGCCAGTCTATAAGGATAGATGGTCATGTGTTGGGAAGACTTTGATTGTGTCCTTCCTGCCTGACAGAAGGGGATTGAACTGGATGGCCCTTGGGGTCTCTTCCAACTGTAGGATGATTATGATTATGATGACGACAACTATAGGATGATGATGGTGATAATATAGTCATGATATCTTCCTGCCTGGCAGAAGGGGGTTGCACTGGATGGCCCTTGGGGTCTCTTCCAACTCTAGGATTCTATGGTACCATAATCCTATTTCTTTATTAACCATTCAATGTCTATAAGGCTGGGTGGCCATCTGTTGGGAGGACTTTAATGGTATTCTGATTGTCAGAAGATGGCCCAGGGTCTCTTCCAGCTCTTGAGGTTGGATCTATCTATTTATCTAACTATCTATCTATCTAGAGGAGGTTGGACTGGGTGGCTCTTAGAGGTCTCTTTCAACTCGTAAGACTCAATCCATCCATCTATATATCTAGATGGGGTTGGACTGGATGGCCCTTGGAGGACTCTTCCAACTCTTAAGAGTCCATCGATCAATCCATCTATCTATCTATCTATCTGGGATTGAATAATAGCCTTCGGAGGTCTCTTCGAAGTCTAAGAGTCAATCTATCTACCTAATTACCTATCTAGAGGGGATTAGACTGGATGGCCCTTGGAGGTCTTATCTATCTATCTATCTATCTATCTATCTATCTATCTATCTATCTATCTATCTATCTATCTATCTAGAGGAGGTTGGACTGGATGACTCTTGGAGGTCTCTTCCAACTCTAAGAGTCCATCGATCAATCCACCCATCTATCTATCTATCTATCTATCTATCTATCTATCTATCTATCTATCTATCTATCTACCAACCTATCTCTCTATCTATCTATCTATCTATCTATCTATCTGGGGTTGAATAATGGCCTTTGGAGGTCTCTTCGAACTCTTAAGAGTCAATCTATCTACTTAATTACCTATCTAGAGGGGATTGGACTGGATGGCCCTTGGAGGTCTTATCTATTTATCTATCTATCTATCTATCTATCTATCTATCTATCTATCTATCTATCTAGAGGGGGTTGGACTGGATGGCCCTTGGATGGTCTGGATGGTCTCTTCCAACTCTTAAGAGTCCATCGATCCATCCATCCATCCATCCATCCATCCATCTATCTATCTATCTACCGTATATTCCGGCATATAAGACGACTGGGCGTATAAGACGACCCCCAACTTTTCCAGTTAAAATATAGAGTTAAGACAACTCCCATGCATAAGACTACACCCACATATAAGACGACCCCTGACTTTTGAGAAGATTTTCTTGGGTTAAAAAGTAGTCTTATACGCCAGAATGTACTGTATCTATCTATCTATCTATCTATCTATCTATCTATCTATCTATCTATCTATCTATCTGGGGTTGAATAATGGCCCTTGGAGGTCTCTTCCAACTCTTAAGAGTCCATCGGTCAATCCATCCATCTGTCTATCTGGGGTTGAATAATGGCCCTTGGGGGTCTCTTCCAACTCTTAAGAGTCGGTCTATCTACCAACCTATTTAGGGTTGGAGTAGATGGCCCTTGGAGGTCTCTTTTAACTCTAGGATTCTATGCAATTCAACGGCCTTGGTCTCTATTCCTCCAGGGAAGCGCTACCAATGCACTGGAGATGGATGCCGCCTGGCCTGCCGTTCCATGCCGGAGCTCCTGGAGCACATGCATGCCCACTTCCGGCCCACCCAGTCCCTGGAAGGTGAGCCTCCTTTGGGAAGGGAGAGGTAGGGGAGGAGGGACTCCTATTTCCTTAAAAACATTGACTACTCTGAGCCCATCAAATTTCAAAATGTTTCCCTTATCCACTGATTATTGGGGAAATCGTAGGATAAAAGTGGAACAAAAAGCTTTAGGGGAGAAACGGAATTTTTCCAAGTCGTTCCAAAGGTGAAACTATACAAAAAGTCTCACCTTTTTTAAAAAAAACGACACTTACAGTAAAACACGGAAGGAGATTAAAAGCTATCTGGTCTAACCTTGTTCTCCCAGAGGCAGCACTGCAGCCCTTCGGATCAGTGTTCTTACGAAAGAGGCTGTGTTTGGGTTTCAATCTTTAGCAACTTGGAAAGAATGAAAATTCCATGTAAACAAAGGTGAAAAGATGTTGGAAATGGTTAGATTTAAGGTATTGCAAGATGTCTTTAAAAAAAAGAGGAACAAGTTGCTGCCTAATGTGAAAATATATATTATATTTTTGCGTGTGACACCCTCCTTTTCTCTGTTGGCTGTTTCTCTCCTAGGGAAAACCTTCCGCTGCTCGACACTGGGCTGCGCGGAGTTGTTCCCTGACATGCAAAGCCTGATGGGACACATGAAGGTGCATTACAAGCCCAACCGCTACTTCAAGTAAGAACATTACGAGTTCCTTTCCAAACTGGGGGCGCGTTGGTGGTATTGGAGAGCGGAATTCCCACCCCCCTCTCCAAAGGGACATTCCCAGCCTCTAGGACAGTGTTTCTCAACCTTTCTAATGCTGTGACCCCTTAATACAGTTCCTCGTGTTGTGGTGCCCCCCAACCATAACATTATTTCTGTTGCTACTTCATAACAGAGCATTCTGAACTCCCCCAATGATGGAATTGAACCAAACTTGGCACACAGAACTCCCACGACCAACAGAAAATACAGGAAGGGTTTGGTGAGCATTGAGCTTGAGTTTTGGAGTTGTAGTTCACCTACACCCAAAGAGCACTGTGGACTCAAACGATGATAGATCTGGACCAAACTTGGCACAAATACTCAATATGCCCAAATGTGAACACTAGTGGAATTTGGGGGAAATAGACCCTGACATTTGGGAGTTGTAGTTTCTGGAATTTCTAGTTCACCTACAATCAAAGAGCATTCTGAACCCCACCAACAGGAGAATTGGGCCAACTTCACACACAAAACTCCCAGGTTTTGAAGAGACTCACTAGTGCCTCCTACCAGCTTTGCATGCTATCCCTCACTTGCACATGCGCACCATGCTGCCATGTGCCGAGCAGGCCTCCCCTCCCTGCTTGGAGTCTCAGAAACAGCCCTCCCCTTGGCTGCGAGGTTGGCCAATCACAGAGGAGGAGGGCTTTTGGTGGGAGGATTGGCCCTGTTTCCAAAAAGGAAGAGAAGGACAGGCGGAGAGATCTTCTGCCTTCTCTATCAAAAGCGTTCCTAAGACCATCTGAAATATATGCTTTTTGATGATCTTTGGCGACCACTCTGAAACCACCTTGTGACCCCCCCAGGGGTCCTGACTCTCAGGTTGAGAAACACTGCTCTAGGAAGAGTGCTGTGTGCAGGGCTGTTGTTGGACAGCATTAGTATTACAATATTTTATTTGTATTATTATTATATTTATTATATTTATATTACGATATTTTACATGTACATAACAACACAGCACACATGCACATTAGGTCCAAGAGTCTGGGATGCGTCTCTGAATATTTGGCTCTTCCCAAGGGCCTAGGATATTTGAGATATTATTATTATTATTAATATATTGTATTTATATTATTATATTTATTATATTATTATCTTGGGGACCTGGCAGTGCCCATATTATTAGAAGAGGGTGTTGTTTGTTTTGGGATGTTAGGTAATATCACTGAAGTTTGGTCCAGATCCATCATTGGCTGGGTTAAGTGCTCTCTGGATAAGAGTGAACAACAATTCCCAGATTCCTAGGGCAATTACCCACAAACCCTGACAGTATTCGCAGTTGGTCATGTTGGGTCTGTGTGCCAAGTTTGGTCCAGATCCGTCATTGGCTGGATTTAAGGCTCTCTGGATAAGGGTGAACTACAATTGCCAGATCCGAGGTCAGTAACTCCCAAACAAGGCCTATATGCACAGTTGGCCATGTTGGGTCTTTGTGGAAAATTTGGTCCAGATCTGGCGTTGGCTGGGTTCAGTGCTTTCTGGATGCAGGTGAACCACAACTCCCAAAATCAATGTCCATTCCCTCAAACCCCTGCAGTATGTTCAGTTGGTCATGGGGCTTCTCTGTGCCAAGTTCAGTCCCAGTCCATTGTCAATGGGGGTCACAGTTTCTCCGGATGCAGGTGAACTATAACTCCCAAAATCCAGGTCCATTCCCACAAACCCCTGAAATATGTTCAGTTGGTTATGGGGCTTCTCCGTGCCAAGTTTGGCCTAGTCTATTGTCAGTGGGGGTCACAGTATAGTGAAGATACTGCAAGTTCCATCATCCGTGGCAAGTTTGGTCCAGAGCCTTAGTTGGTTGGGTTGACAGTGCTCTCTGGATGTAGGTCAAGTACAACTCCTGTAAATCATGGTGAATTCTCCCCAAACTTCTTGTTGAGTTGCTGATCAATTCCTCTGTTTGTTGTGTAACATAGGAAAGGATAGGAAAGGGTTAAGAGAGAGATATTGATTGAGGTCATGCAAATTCCAGAGCAATGGAGAGAGAAAGGAACCCTGGGATGTGGAGGAAAAACAGAACATCAAGGATGAAATTGTCCCTGCATGAATGCCTTCACTTGTGTGGGAGGCAGGTTGGTGTTCGTGGAGGACACTGGCAGGGTTTGGGCTACATGTTCATGGCACTCACTATAGCCTGCAATATCAGTGGAGGGAGGGACATGGGTATCTCCTGCTCAGTGGGAACTATAACTGTTTGTGGAGGTGGGAGTCTGTGTAAGCGGACACCTCCGCCACATACACGCATACACATTTTCACTTTTATTATGTGATTTTCACTTTTATTATATGTATAGATTATATTATTATATTATTATCTTTTACATGTACACAACAACACACAGCACGCATGCATATTAGGTGTTTTGGACTTCAGCTTCTACCAGCTGTAAAGAATTATGGGAGGTGAAATCCAAAACACCTGGCGGGAGGACTCAGGTTTGCCCATGCCTGTTGTAGACTGAGGGATGACCCAGAGATTATATTTATTTATTTATCGTCTCATCAGCAACCATACCATTGTATTACATTTCTAACAGAACAAAACAAACAAACAGATTAAAAAAAACACAGATTTTGCAAACTTGGTAGTTGGTTAAATGTCCTTTGACCAGTATCTGGCCACTTGGAGTTCCTCTGGTGTTGCTGCAAGAAGGTCCTCCATCGTGCATGTAGCAGGGCTCAGGTTGCATTGCAGCAGGTGGTCAGTGGTTTGCTCTTCTCCGCACTCGCATGTCATGAATTCCACTTTGTAGCCCCATTTCTTAAGATTGGCTCTGCATCTCGTGGTGCCAGAGCGCAGTCTGTTCAGCGCCTTCCAAGTCGCCCAATCTTCTGTGTGCCCAGGGGGGACCTGGAGATGATAAAAGGTTTGGAATGATGTCACACTTTTTCTTACCAGCTTTAGCACAGCTGGTAAATCACCAGCAATGATAAGATTTACCAACCGAAAGGCTGCCAGTTCGAAGTCCCGGGTCGATGTGAGCACCCGACTGTCAGCCCAGCTCACTGCTTGCCTAAGCAGTTCGAAAACAGCTTTTGCTGTAAGTAGAGAAATTAGGTACTGCTAAATGAGTGAGGGAAGTATTTTATGTTACCATAAAGAAAAAGATCAGAAAATGCCCGGTGACCAAAAGGAAGGAGGAAGTCCTGATGGCTCTTTATCATAGCACCTCCCTGTGGCTGGATTCAAACACAACCTCTAAGGCACCAAAAAGCTGGACATCGACACTACATACCTCCTTTCTGTTTTGTCCGTCTCTGTCCAAAATGGCATTGAATGTTAGCCATGTTTGTGTACTGCGATCCGCCCTGAGTCCCCTTGGAGAGATAGGGTGGAATACAAATGAAGTGTTATTATTTGCCCCCCACAGATGCGAGAACTGTATGTCCCGGTTCCGGACTCACCGCTCGCTCTTCAAGCACCTCCATAGCTGCTTAGATGCGGCCGCCAGCCGGCATTCTTTCCCCACGGAGAAGCCCCCTTCTGTAGCAGGGAAGGAACTGGAAGAGCTGCCCAAGCTCCAGAGTGTTCTGCAGAGCATCCGGAAGGACACCGTACTCCCTATGAAAAAGGAAGTGACGGAAGATGCCCCAGATGATTCGCTGCCGATCGAGCTTCATGGCGACATAGGCAGCTCCTCCACGGAACCAGGCCCGATCTCCTCAACGGCTGCGCACTCATTCCCATTGCTGGAGCAGTCCCTCTTTGGGCCGTCCGCCCTGGACAGGTTCTCCGGCTCCGTCCCAGGTCCATTCCTGCCCTACATGCACCCACCGGGCTATGGCTTGTCTCCCACGGCCGTCCAGAACCGCCTCCGGCCCTTCCTGCCTGGGCAAGGCCTCCCCGTCTCCAATGCCATCTGGAAGAAAAGCCAAGGTGGGCCACAAACAGTTTCAGGGGAATCTGTTCATGGCTTGGGTCTTTGGTTGAGGGAGCGGGTCTTGGTTGAGAGAGGGTTACATCGCCTGTCGGTGACCCCAAGTGTCAGGAAGCCAACTCAGGCATGATAATCAACTGACTAGTCATTATAGAATCATGGAATAATAGAGTTGGAAGAGACCACATGGGACATCTAGTCCAACCCCCTTCTGCCATGCAGGAAAAGTACAATCAAAGCACCCATGACAGATGGCCATCCAGCCTTTGTTTACAAGCCTCCAAGGAAGGAGCTTCCACCAGACGTCGAGACAGAGTTATTATGATTATGATTAATTTATTTACTTTTATCCTGGTTTTCTCCCATGGATGGGACTCAAAGTGGCAAGTTCCACTGCTGAACAGCTTTTACAGGAGCTTCTTCCTAATATGCAGGTGGAATCTCCTTCCCTGTCATTTGAAGCCACTGCTTCACGTCCTAGTTTCAAGGGCAGCAGAAAACAAACCTGCTCCCTCTTCCTTATGACACCCTTTCATTGGATCATAGAGTTGGAAGAGACCCTGTGGGCCATTCTCCCAAAGGGCCAGATATTTCGGGCACCCAAGTGTCAGAGAGTTTCAGGCTTGTTGTGTGTTGTCTTCTGGCAGGGCATTCCTCCAACAGCCGCATTGTGTGGGAGCACACCCGGGGCCGTTACAACTGCCTGCAGTGCCCCTACTCCACGGCTTCCCGGGAGGAGATGACTCAGCACACGGAGGAGCACCGCAAGAACCCCTCTCCCCCTGGACGCCTGGATGGCGAAATGGGTAAGTATGAGAAAAGGGAATGTTTAAGGTCATAGCCGCCAAAGGCCTGTCCACAGAATATCTGTGAACGCAGTCGTTCACAGTCTCGTAGTCATATACAGTGATACCTTGACTTTGGAATCTAATTCGTTCCATGCCCAAATTCTTAATGTTTTTCCCTCAAATAATCAAATATTGGCAGATCAGGTCTGCGTGCCAAGTTTGGTCCAGATTCACAGTGCTCTCTGGATGTAGGTGAACTACAACTCCCTTAAATCAAGCTGAATTTTCCCCAAATACCTCCAAATATTTTCTGTTGGTCATGGGGACTGTGTGTGCCAAGTTTGGTCCAATTCCAACTTTGGTTGGGTTCAGAGTGCTCAATGATCACAGGTGAACTGGAAATCCCAGTACCGACAACTCTAAAATGTCCAGGTCAATTCACCTCAAAACCCATCAGTATTCAAATTTGGGCATATTGGGTATGCATGCCAAGTTTGGTCCAGATCCATCATTGTATGGGTTTGTAGTGCTCTCTCTGGATTTAGGTGAACTACAACTCCTCTAAATCCCCCCAAAGGCCTCCAGTATGTTTTGTTGGTGATGGAGCTTCTGTGTGCCGAGTGAGTTCCAGGTCCATCGTTGGTGGAGTTCAGAGTGCTCTTAGATTGCAGGTGAACTAGACATCCCAGGACCTACAACTCCTATAAACCATGGTGAATTCTATCCAAACTTCTCTAGTACGGTCAGTTGTGGATCAATTCCCCCGTTTGCTGTGTGCCATAGAAAAGAATAGGGAGAGACAGTGGGCAGTCATGCAAATTCCACACCAATGGAGAAAGAAACACTGGGGTGTCTGGTGGGGGAAACACATAAAATCTAGGATGAAATGGTCCCCGTATGAAAGCCTTCACATAGGTGGTGGGCAGGATGGTTTTTGTGGAGGATACTGGCAGGGCTTTTGGACATATTCATGGCGCTCGCTGTGATTGGACGGAGGTCTTTTGGTGTCTCCTGAGAAGTGGGAGCTATAGCTATTTGTGGCAGGAGCTTGACTGTGTAAGTGGACACCCCCAGCCACATTCATACACTTTTATTAGGTGTATAGATAGATATATATTTCCCAGCTGTGAATGCAGAATCTGTTGATATGGAGAGCCGGCTCTATAATACAAAGACAACATATTGAACTCTACCATCTTTTCTCCATATTCGCTTTCCTTCCATTTGGATTTCTTGTGTTTCTGATTATGTTGTCACTGTTTCACCTTTCGCTCTTTTCTCTTAGATTTTGGAGTCACCATCCCTTCGTTCCACCCGAAATTGACACCGTCAGACGTGGAGAACCCCCTCTTTTCGCCGTTGTGAGGCACTCACAGCTCATTTTTTAAAATCAATTTTATTATTATTAGACTTGGCTCCAAACAGCAGAACGTGCAGCAGCCTAAACCCAGCACCTCGCTTCCCTTCTTTCCACTCTCAAATCAGCTGCCGTTTGGATATAAGGAACGAGGATAATTATTTATAATGTGATGTAGAACATTTCTGTGCATCTTTTTAAAAAGGCATTCTTCCTTGCTCTCAGGGTGGGGTTGGTTGGGGGGACTCTCAAAACGGGAGGATCAATTCTGCTCAGGTTTGTTAGTTGGCTATTGCTGCTTTTTTGAAGATTTTTTTTGGGAGGGGATGACACAACAATAAAAAACCAGAAATTGTACAGAAATGAATGCGTGTGCCGTGTCTTTATCTCCATCTTTTTCTCCAGAGCAAAGGCAGGAATGAGGCTGCGATCACCATTGGGTGGTTGTTTTCCTCCTTTGGGGCGTAAAAATAGAGCGGAAATCCCAAGATCGGCGGGAATACAGTGAAACCTTGACTTACAAGCAAACCTACTTATGCATTTTTTTGAAATACGAATCGTTGCTCGGGTATTGTTTTGCTTTGGCATGTGAACTGAGTTCCGAGTTGCTGTTATTTCTGCAAAAAATTCCAGGGCTTTGGGAGATTGTAGGAAAGCGAATGGGCCTGGAGTCTATCCTTAGCCTCATTATCCCGATGCAGAATGATGTTCCTAATAGCTTGTAGTCCACCTTTATGTGGGATATATGGATCCTATAGTGCAAGGGTTCTCAAACTGTGCTCCGTGGAGGCCTTGGCAGAAGGGGGTTTGACTGGATGGCCTCTGCGGTTTCAGCTATTATTATTATAATGGCTGGATGGCCATCTGTTGGGGGGTGCTTTGATTGTGTTTTTCCTGCATGGCAGAAGGGGGTTGGACTGGATGGCCCTTGGAGTCCCTTCCAACACTAGGATTATTATTATGATGCAGAGGCTGAATGGCCATCTGTTGGGGTGCTTTGTGTTTTTCCTGCATGGCAGAAGGGTGTTGGACTGGATGGCCCTTGGAGTCCCTTCCAACACTAGGATTATTATGATGCAGAGGCTGAATGGCTCTGCATCATAATGGCTCTGCATCATTTGTGTTTTTCCTGCAGAAGGGGGTGGGACTAGGTGGCTCTAGGGCAGGGGTCCTCAAACTAAGGCCCGGGGGCTGGATACGGCCCTCCAAGGTCATTTACCCGGCCCTCACTCAGGATCAAACTAAGTGTGAAACGACTTGAAAGCACACAACGACAACAACAATCCTATCTCATCAGCCAAAAGCAGCCCCACACTTCCCATTGAAATACTAATAAGTTTATATTTGTTCAAATTGTTCTTCATTTTAATTACAGTATTCTTTTAAGTGGGTTTTTTTGCACTACAAATAAGATATGTGCAGTGTGCATAGGAATTCATTCATGTTTTTTCCCCTCAAATTATAATCCAGCCCTCCAACAGTTTGAGGGACTGTGACCTGGTCCTCTGTTTAAAAAGTTTGGGGACCACTGCTCTAGGGTCTCTTCCAACTCTATGATCCCATTATTATTATTATTATTATTATTATTAAAAAGCTAGATGGCCATCTCTTGAGGGTGTTTTGATTTTGCTTTTCCTGCATGGCAGAAGGGTGTTGAACTTAATGGGCTCTGGGGTTTTTGTTACTACTACTACTACTACTACTACTACTACTACTAGAATATGAAGGACAAGAGACCTCTTCCAGAAAATTAGAAACATTGGAGGTAAATTTCAGGGGAAAATGGGTATGATCCAAAACAAAAATGGCAAGGACCTAACAGAAGCTGAAGAGATCAAGAGAAGGTGGCAAGACTATAAAGATCTGTATAGGAAGGATGATAATATCAAGGATAGTGTGGTGCGTGAATTAGAACTTGACATCCTGAGGAGTGAGGCTGAATGGGCCTTAAGAAGTATTGCTAATCACAAGGCAGCAGTAGACGATGGGATCCCAGCTGAACTGTTTAAAATCTTGAAAGAGGATGCTGTCAAGGTGATCCATGCCACATGCCAGCAAATATGGAAAAAACAAGAGTGGCCATCAGATTGGAAAATATGCAAATGGGTGCTTGGTAGGGAAAGGGGTTAATTTGAGGATCAATCCTGACAAGACAGAGGTCCTCCTGGTCGATCATAAGCCAGATCGGGGGTATAGGGTGGCAACCTGTGCTGGATGAGGTTGCACTCCCCCTGAAGTCACAGGTCCGCAGTCTGGGGGTCCTCCTGGACTCCTCACTTACGCTTGAAGCTCAGGCGTCAGCAGTGGCTGGGAGGGCCTTAGCACAATTAAGACTCATGCGCCAGCTGCAACCGTACCTCATGAAGTTGGATCTGGCCAGGGTGGTCCATGCTTTAGTCACCTCCAGATTGGATTACTGTAATGCACTCTACGTGGGGCTGCCCTTGAAAACGGCCCGGAAATTTCAATTGGTACAGCAGGCAGCAGCCAGGTTACTAACTGGTGCAACTTGCAGGGAGCGGTCAACCGCCCTGTTTAAGGAGCTCCAATGGCTGCCGTTCATTTTCCGGTCCCAATTCAAGGTGCAGGTTCTTACCTACAAAGCCCTGAACGGTTTGGGACCTGCCTACCTGCGTGACTGCATTTCTGTGTACGAACCCACATGATCTCTTCGATTTGGAGGCCCTGCTCGCGCTCCTGCCTCCTTTGCAGGCGCAATTGGTAGGGACGAGGGAGAGGGCCTTCTCGGTTGTGGCCCCCCGACTCTGGAACTCACTTCCCAAATACATCAGGCATGCCCCAACATTGGCAGTCTTTAGGAGGAGCCTGTAAACATGGCTGTTCCAGTGTGCCTTCCCAGAATAAGGAAAATTCCCAGCAATATGTCCTCAGATTGCACTTTACTATTGATTTAGGATGGACTGCGCTCCCTCATTTCTTTTAAAACCCTATACCAGATATGTCCTACCTTGTTCATGCCCAGAGTTTATTTTTTTTATTTTAAACTATTACATTTGGCCCGGCCATAGGTTTTTAAATCCTTGTGTGTTATTGTTTATATGTGATTTATAGTATTTACTGTTTTGTTTATTGCTTTTTGTTTTTATTGATGTGTTGTTGGTCTTGGCCTCATGTAAGCCGATCCGAGTCCCTTGGGGAGATGGTGGCAGGGTATAAATAAAACATTATTATTATTATTATTATTGATCACAATGGTCCATAACATCCATGGTCTCTTAAAAGTTGGGAACCACTGCTCTATGCAAATACCCTCACAGATTGACTGCAGCTTCATAGCCGCTCAATGCTATTCAAACTTGCTAATTGCAACATTAACTCTTGCTTTAAACAGACAACGGTTCTTCCACCCTGGACATCCCACAGAGATAGACAGATAGATAGGTTGATAGATAAGATATATACACACACACTCAATTTGCCTCACTGCCAACAGAACCTCGGAAAATGCCATTAGCCACAGATGTAGGCAAAACGTTAGGAGAGAATGCTATTGGAACATGGCCATACAGCCGGAAAAAACTCACAGCAACCTCCATTATAGTATTTTCCCACCCAAAGGTGGACCCACTTTAGCATTACATTTCCTGCAACACTTCTCTGTTTTTTGGTACTGGTTTGGACTTGGGGAGAGGCAATGAGTTCCACAGGCTGGTGTTCTACTGCACAGGGAGAGCTTTTTCGAAACCAAAAACTAGCATTTATTCCAAGCAAATATTCAACAATGGCTCGGACTCAAGAGAAGGGAAACAAACAAAACAAAACAAAAAGGAGGGATGAGGTGGCTGCACTTCTGAAGACATTATGATCCCCTTCTGGAAATCTGGCTCCGAGTCGCAAAACAAGAAACGAACACAAAGGGTTTGAATCGAACCCAATAGCTCCTTTCCGCAGGGCTCTGGCCGCAGGAAAAGGAAGGAGGGCTGGTTCTCTATTTCATAGGCAGTCAACGGAGCCCACTATGCGGAGAGGAAACGAGAACAAAAACTCAACGGGAACGTTCCCACCGTAACATTTCTGGCTTCGTTGCCTTTCCACTTTTCTGGATTCTTCCTTAGAAGCAGTGAGAAGAAGCCTCAAGAATACACGAATAACAGGGACGGTTTCATACATCAGGCATAAGAGCTCGAAGGTCTCGCCTCTGGAAAGTCTTCGGTGATGCTCCTGTGCCTTGTGCGGTCCGGCTGCAAAAGAAGCAAGCAGATTGAAATGGCCGAAATTGACAAATTAACTTTCACTTTACAACAAATACACAGAAACTTCCAAGAAGAATGGAATTTATAAAGAACCAGAGGAAGAGGACCATGGCAGGATTGGTGGACCAAAAACAATCTATCTACATATATACTAAAAGCGGAACGTATGTATGCAGCAGTGTATGTTTGCAGCAACCCACTTCCACAGACCCCTGTGACCCCCACAAACGACCATGAGGATGGATTGCAGATTATGGGATTTGCAGTACCTTCACCCACATCCAGGGACTGCTGCAAACCCCATCAGCCATTGATCTGGACCAAACTTGGCACACAGACACCCCCCACCCCCCCATGACCCACTTTACATCCTGGTGATGTTTGGGGGAGGATGGACCATGGACAGTGGGATTTGCAGTACCTTCATGCTGAACGGCATTGAACTGCTGCCAAGTGTTAGCCGCTCTGAGTCCCTCTGTGACGGAGAGGGAGCAGGATATAAAACAAAGTAAATAAATAAATATTGGAAGAGTCCCCCCAGAGGCCACCTAGTGCAACCCCCTTCTTTCTGCCATGCAGGGAAAGCATAATAAATCACACTTGACAGAAGGCCATCCAGGCTCTGCTTGATAATAATAATAGATAGAATTGGAAGAGACTGCATGGTCTTTATTATTATTATTATTATGACTATTATTATTATTATAGAATCATAGTTGGAAGAGACCCCAGGAGCCATCCAGTCCAACCCCCTTCTGTGTTCATGCAGGAAAGGCACAATCAAAGCACACCCAACAGATGGCCATCCAGCCTCAATAATAATAATAATAAAAATAATAATAGAAGTTTAGAGAAGAAAATGGAAGGAAGAGGGGACAACCAAAGGCAAGATGGATGGATGGTATGCTTGAATCATAGAATGATAGAGTTGGACAAGACCTCATGGGCCATCCAGTCCAACCCCCTGCCAAGAAGCAGGAAAATTGCATTCAAATCACCCCTGACAGATGGCCATCCAGCCTCTGTTTAAAAGCTTCAAAAGAAGGAGCCTCTACTACACTCCGGGGCAGAGAGTTCCACTGCTGAACGGCTCTCACAGTCAGGAAGTTCTTCCTCATGTTCAGATGGAATCTCCTTTTTTGTAGTTTGAAGCCATTGTTCCGCATCCTAGTCTCCAGGGCAGCAGAAAACAAGTTCGCTTCCTCCTCCCTATGACTTCCTCTCACATATTTATACATGGCTATCATGTCTTCTCTCAGCCTTCTCTTCTTCAGGCTAAACATGCTCAGCTCTTTAAGCCACTCCTCATAGGGCTTGTTCTCCAGACCCTTGATCATTTTAGTCGTTGTCCTCTGGACACATTCCAGCTTGTCAATATCTCTCTTCAATTGTGGTGCCCAGAATTGGATGCAAAATTCCAGGTGTGGTCTAACCAAAGCAGAATAGAGGGGCAGAATGACTTCCCTGGATCTAGACACTAGACTCCTACTGATGCAGGCCAAAATCCCAGGAAGTGACTGGCTTGACTCTGAAGGAGGTGGAGCTGGGGTTGGTGATGTGGGCTGGTCCAGAAGGGCTTTGACGTGGGCTGGTCCAGGAGGTCACAAAGAGTCCGAAGCGACTGAACGAATAAACAGCAACAATAATAGAGTTGGAATAGACTGCATGGGCCATCTAGTCCAACCCCCTTCTTTCTGCCATGCAGGAAAAACACAATCAAATCCCTTCTGACATATGGCCATCTGGTCTCTGTTTAAAATCTTCCAAGGAAGAAGCTTCCACCAGACTCTGAGGCAGAGAGTTCCACTGCTGAACAGCTTTTCAAACAGTCAGGAAGTTCTTCCTAATATTTCCTAATGAAATCTCCTTTTCTGTAACATGAACCCATGCTCCATCGAGTCCTGGTCTCCAGGGCAGCAGAAAAGAAACCTGCTCCCTCTCCCTTATGGCACTCTTTCACATATTTATACATGGCTCTCATGTCTCTTCCTCTCAACCTTATTTTCTGCAAGCTAAACAGACCCAGCTCTTTAAGACATTACTCGTAGGGATTATTCATGGTCCCCAGACCTTGGATACTTTTAGTTGCCCTCCTCTGGATACCGTCCAGCTTAGAGTCATTACCATCATCATCATCCCTCTTGAATTGGTTTGGCCAGAATTGGACACGGTGCTATTCCAGTTGAAGAGGTCTGACCAAGGCAGAAGAGAAGGGCACCATTACGTCCCTTGATCCAGACACTAGACTCCTTTAGATGCAGCCCAAAATCCCATTGGCTTTTCTAGCTGCTGCATCACACTCATCTCAAGTTCATCTTGTTGCCCACGAAGAGCGTCGTCCTCAAAGGACGTCCCACTGACCTATGGGGGCTGGTCACCTCACATACTATTCCAGGAGGCTCTCAGCGGGATGTTTTAAAAAATAAATAAATATTACCTGGGCTCTGCCTGCAGGTCTGAATGGCTCCACCTGGGAGCCGCCCCGGGGGTCTCCCAGCCTGGTACATTCCAGAGGGGCGTGCATCAGATCCGGGAACTTTATGAGAAGGTCGTCCAGGAGCTTCATATTGTCTTCAGTGAAGAGCCACCCGTTGGCAGTGCGGGCGTTCATTCTCGTGGCCATGCTCCTCAGCTGTGGGTTGATAGCGGTCAGGACATCGCTGCGGCGGTAGAAAAGGAGCCGCTGACTGAGGCTGCCAATGTAGCGGAGCAGGTGCCGAGCCCATTCCCGCAGCTCCAGAGGCTCCACCGCCTCCCCTTTGGCCAGGGCTTCCTCTGCCATCTCATAGATCGTCATGGCCGGTGCCGCCATGTCCAGCAACTCATTCTGAAGCAGCTGCCACTTGTGGGATGCATAAGAGAGCCGCTTCAGGTGTGGCCGCTTCAGCTGGAGAATGAGTCTCTTGTTCAAGCCGGGGGTCTGAGTGGAGCGGTCAGGCAGCCAGGGCCGGGGACAGGTGGTGCGCAGGTAGGTCCGCGCCTTCTTCCCAATGGTGACTTGGCACTGCTTCATCCAAAAGTGCGCCACCGCTTTGCAGGGCACCCACTTGGCGCGGGCGGTGGAGTGGTTGGCAGAAGAAGGAAAGGAGGTGGTGACGACGGTGGAGTCAGCAGAAGCAGTGGCCGCTTTGGTGTGAGGCTTGCCTTTCCTGCTCGAAACCCTTTCGTCCTTCCGCTCCTCTCCATCCTCTGCTTCGCTCTCAGGGCTCCATTCTCCCAACTTTTCACGGCCGTCTGCGGCGCTGTCCTCTTCGCTGTAACGGCTCCTCGACGGCTCTGGGGTCCGTTCGCGGAAGGACCCCTCCTCTGCCTGTTGCTTGTGGGGCTGCGGGTTCTGAGCCTCCATGGCAAAGGCCCTTCCGGGGCCACTCCACCCCCTTCCTCTCCCCCGGGGGCCACTCCACCCCCTCTTCAGGTGGCCACGTCCAGCCCTCCTTCTCCTCTTCCGGGGCATTTCGGAGGGTGCCGGACCACGCCACTTCTCCGGGTTGTCACGCCACTCCTGCTTCGTCTCCTCCCAGGGCTCTTCATCCATCTCTGGGGTGCTCCAACCGCCCGGCCCCCTCCGGCTTTGGTCCTGCGGCTCCCAGCGGGGCCTCTTCACCGGCTGGGCCTCCCACTCGACGTTGGGTTCCCACCGCTGCCTGCTCCTCCTCCCCCTCGGGGGCGACCCTTTTGGAGGGCTGGGCGTGCGGCTGAGGGGCCTTGGCGGGCTCCATAAGGCGCTGGCTTCCCTGGCGCGGCCAGTCTCGGCCAAGGAGTCCCAGGAGCCGCGGCTGGCCCAGTCAGGGCTGCCCCAGGACCGCTCCCGGCTCCAAGGCCTCTCCGGGGAAGCCCTCAGCGCCCTCCCCCGCTCCACGGAGGCCCTCACGCCCGGGCTCGACGGGCTCCAGCGCCCCGGGCCTTCCAGGGAGGCCCAAGAGCCTGCCCTCCGCTCCCGGGGGCTCCACGACCTCTCCCGGCCTAGCCTCGGCTCCCTCTCGGGGCTCCAGGCCTCCCTCCAGCCGCGCCGGCCTCTCTCCTGCCTCTCCTCCGGCGCCTCTTCCCGCCAACGAGGCCCTCTCCGCCCCAGCGACGCCATTGCTGAGGGAGACGGCACACCAGGGAGGCGCTTCCGGTTTGGAGGGAAGCCCGCCTCGGAAGAAGGCAAGACTTCCGGCCTGGACCGGAAATTGAGACCCTCCTTCAATATTTGATTTTTTACTAGCCATCCCCTGCCACGCGTGGCTGTGGCCCACATGGGGGTTCTGTGTGGGAGGTTTGGCCCAATTCCATCGTTGGTGGGGTTCAGAATGCTCTTTGATTGTAGGTGAACTATAAATCCCAGCAACTACAACTCCCAAATGTCAAGGTCTATTTCCCCCCAAACTCCATTTATATTTGGGCATATTGAATATTTGTGCCAAGTTTGGTCCAGATCCATCATTGTTTGAGTCCACAGTGCTCTCTGGATGTAGGTGAACTACAGCTCCCAAACTCAAGGTCAATGCCCACCAAACCCTTCTAGTGTTTTCTGTTGGTCATGGGAGTCCTGTATGCCATGTTTGGTTGAATTCCATCATTGGTGGAGTTTAGAATGCTCTTCGATTGTAGGTGAACTATAAATCCCAGTAACTACAAATCCCAAATGTCAAGGTCTATTTCCTCCAAACTCCATCTGTATTCATATTTAGGCATATGGAATTTTTGTGTCAAGTTTGGTCCAGATCCATCATTGTTTGAGTCCACAGTGCTCTCTGGATGTAGGTGAACTACAACTCCCAAACTCAAGGTCAATGCCCACCAAACCCTTCCAGTATTTTCTGTTGGTCATGGAAGTCCTGTATGCCATGTTTGGTTCAATTCCATCATTGGTGGAGTTCAGAATGCTCTTTGATTGTAGGTGAACTATAAATCCCAGCAACTACAACTCCCAAATGTCAAGATTCTATTTTCCCCAAACTCCACCAGTGTTCACATTTGGGCATATTGAGTATTCGTGTAGAGTTTGTTCCAGATCCATCATTGTTTGAGTCCACAGTGATCTCTAGATGTAGGTGAACTACAACTCCAAAACCAAAGGACACTGCCCACCAAACTCTTCCAGTATTCTCTGTTGGTCATGGGAGAACTGTGTGTCAAGTTTGGTTCAATTCCATTGTTGGTGGGGTTCAGAATGCTCTTTGATTGTAGGTGAACTACAATAGCAGCAACTACAATTCCCAAATGACAAAATCAATTTTTTTGAGTGAAGGAAATACATTGGTTGTTAGGTGTCTTGTGTCCAAATTTGGTGTAAATTCGTCCAGTGGTTTTTGAGTTCTGTTAATCCCACAAACAAACATTACATTTTTATTTATATAGATTAGCCGTCCCCTGCCACACATTGCTGTGGCCCAGTCTGTGTCTATGTATTTTGTGTGTGCATATATGTGTATGTATTTGTGTATATATGTGTGTGTTTATATGTATCTATATATGTGTGTGTATTTGTGTGTTTATATCTGTATATGTATATTGTGTATGTGTGTGCTTGTGTATGTGTGTGTGTGTATGTATGTGTATATTTCTGTGTGCATGTGTATATGTGTGTATGTGTATATGCAATGTGTATATGTGTGTGTGTGTGTTTTATGTATCTGGATGTATTTATGTATGTATATAGATGTGTATATATATGTGTGTGTGTGTGCATTGCAGCAGGTGGTCAGTGGTTTGCTCTTCTCCACACTCGCATGTCGTGGATTCCACTTTGTAGCCCCATTTCTTGGGGTCGACTCTGCATCTCATGGTGCCAGAGTGCAGTCTGTTCAGTGCCTTCCAAGTCGCCCAGTCCTCTGTGTGCCCAGCGGGGAATCTCTCATTTAGTATCAGCCATTGAGTGAGGTTCTGGGTTTGAGCCTGCCACTTTTGGACTCTCGCTTGCTGAGGTGTTCCAGCGAGTGTCTCTGTAGATCTTAGAAAACTATTTATAGATTTAAGTCGTTGATGTGCTGTCTGATACTCAAACAGGAGATGAGCTGGAGATGTCACTGCCTTGGTCCTTTCACTATTGGCTGCTACTTCCCGGCGGATGTCAGGTGGTGCGATACCGGTTAAACAGTGTAATTTCTCCAGTGGTGTAGGGCGCAGACACCTCGTGATAATGCGGCATGTCTCATTAAGAGCCACATCTACTGTTTTAGTGTGGTGAGATGTGTTCCAAACTGGGCATGCATACTCAGCAGCAGAGTAGCATAGCGCAAGGGCAGATGTCTTCACTGCGTCTGGTTGTGATCCCCAGGTTGTGCCAGTCAGCTTTTATATGATATTATTTCTAGCGCCAACTTTTTGTTTGATATTCAGGCAGTGACTCCCAGGTATTTGGGTGTGCTGCAATGCTCCAGTGGGATTCCTTCCCAGGTAAGCTTCAATTGAAAACAGGAGCTTTTTTGTTGAGTTCCAGGGCCAAAGAAGCAGATGGCGGAAACAGAAGAACGGCCTGCCTCAGGGGAGAGTGCTTGCTTCATCCATGTTCAACATTTACACAAATGACCAGCCAGTACCAGAAGGGACAGAGTTTAATCTATGCTGGCACAACTTGGGGATCACAACCAGACAGTGAAGACATCTGCCCTTGCGCTTTGCTACTCTGCTGCTGAGTATGCATGCCCAGTGTGGAACACATCTCACCACGCTTAAACAGTGGATGTGGCTCTTAATGAGACATGCTGCATTATCACGGGGTGTCTGCGCCCTACACCACTGTGGAAATTACACTGTTTAGCCAATATTGCACCACCTGACATCCGCCGGGGAGTAGCAACCAATAGTGAAAGGACCAAGGCAGTGACATCTCCTACGTGAGGTTGCCATTGAAGACTGTTTGGAAGCTAAAAATGGTCCAACGGGCAGCAACTAGATTGCTCATCGGAGCAGCATTCAAGAAGCATACAACTCCCTTGTTACAACAGCTTCACTGGCTGCCGATTTGCTACCAACACTATTCAAAGTGCTGGTTTTAGCCTATAAAGCCCTAAACCAATGTTTCTCAACATTCCTAATGTCATGACCCTTTACTACAGTTCCTCATGTTATGGTGACCCCACAACCATAAAATTATTTTTGTTGCAACTTCATAACTGTAATTTTGCTATTGTTATGAATCATCATGTAAATATCTGATATGCAGGATGTATTTTCATTCACTGGACCTAATTTGGCACAAATAACCAATACACCCAAATTTGAATCCTGGTGGTGTTAGGGAAGATTGATTTTGTCATTTGGGAGTTGTAGTTGCTGGGGTTTATAGTTCACCTACAATCAAAGAGCATTCTGAACTCCACCAACAATGGGATTGAACCAAACTTGGCACACAGAACCCCCATGACCAATAGAAAATACTGGAAGGGTTTGGTGGGCATTGACCTTGAGTTTTGGAGTTGCAGCATGTCTCATTAAGAGCCACATCCACTGTTTTAACGTGGTGAGATGTGTTCCACACTGGGCATGCATACTCAGCAGCAGAGTAGCACAGTGCAAGGGCAGATGTCTTCACTGTGTCTAGTTGTGATCCCCAGGTTGTGCCAGTCCGCTTTCATATATTATTTCTAGCACCCACTAATTGCTTGATACTCGGGCAGTGCTTCTTGTAGGTCAGAGCACAGTCCAGGGTAACTCCCAGGTATTTGGGTGTGCTCCAATGCTCCAGTGGGATTCCTTCCTAGGTAATCCTCAGAGCTTGAGATGCTTGTCTGTTATTAAGATGAAAAGCACAGGTCTGTGCTTTGGAATCTGTAATATGTTTTTCCCTGTAATAGGCAGTAATAGCACCTAGAGCAGGGGTCCCCAAACTATGGCCTGCAGGCCGGATCCGGCCCCCCTGAGGGCATCTATCCGGCCTGTGGGCTGTGGAGAAGGGTGAGAGGCGGGCGAAGGGAGAGGGAGGCGGCGGGCGAAGAGGGGGAGGCGGCGGGCAAAGCGGCTTGGGCCCACTTAGCCCGCCGCCTCCGTGGGCCCAGCCTCTCCTCCCTTCGGAATGCCGCCTCGCCGCATCCCGGAGGCAGGAGGGGGGGGGGGGAGGCCTTAAATCCAGTCATGTCCGACTCTGGGACTCTGCTGCTCATCTCCATTTCTAAGCCGAAGAGCCGGTGTTGTCCATAGACACCTCCAAGGTCATGTGGCTGGCATGACTGCATGGAGCGCCGTTACCTTCCTGCCGGAGCGGTATCTATTGATTTCACATTTGCATGTTTTCAAACTGCTAGGTTTATATTTATTCTAAACTGCTAAGTTTATATTTGTTAAAATAGTTCTTCATTTTAATTATTGTATTATTTAAAGTGTTTTTTGCACTACAAATAAGGTATGTGAGGTGTGGATAGGAATTCATTCATGTTTTTTTTTTTTCAAATTATAATCCGGCCCTCCAAGAGTTTGAGGGACTGTGACCCGGCCCTCTGTTCAAAAAGTTTGGGGACCCCTGACCTAGAGCTTCGGAGAGCTTCTGTTCAACCATTTGAAAGCTCCCTGCTTGAGCGGTGATGACATGATCGTCAGCATAGAAGAAACAGTCCCTTCTGACTGTGGCTGGTCATTTTGTTGAACATGGATGGAGCAAGCACGCTCCCCTGAGGCAGGCCGTTCTTCTGTTTCCACCATCTGCTTCTCAACAAAAAAGCTCCTGTTTTGTAGCAGATTTCCTACGAAGCGGGTAAGATGTTAATCCTTTGTAATACTATACATATTTTTTTTTGAGGAGGCGATGTTTTACAGTATCATAAGCTGCTGACAGGTCTATGAAGGCAGCTCCTGTAATCTGCTGCCTTTCAAAACCATCTTCTATGTGCTGAGTCAGGTTCAACACTTGTGATGCGCAGCTTTTGCTTTCCAGAAGCCATTTAGTTCTTCATTCTTTCTTTCCCTCCTTATCATGATAACAGAATTGGCGCAAACAGGAAGTGCCTCCACAGAGAGAAGTGTCCGAACCAGAGATGCTTACCATTTAGACCACAGACAGCATGGCTAGAGTTGCCTCAAGGCTCTCTCTTTTCTCCCACACTAGCTCCCTTTTCTTAAGGTGAGAGTCCCATTTTTTGTTTGTTTCCCCCCGCATTTCAACTCCCAGAACCTCCACTGCCATGGCCAATGGCTAAGGATTCTGGGAATTGGAGTTGATAATGATGTGGAAGTGAATGGGACAGAAATGAATAAAAAAAGTAAGCCAAAGCAGCTGGGATGAGAGAGTTGGAAGGAATCCCACAGACCTTTTGACACAAAGGATGGCAACGTTCGATCCCTCCCGACAGATGGCCACTCAAACTCTGATTATGATTAATATAACCATAGAATTCTAGAGTAGGAAGAGACCTCCAAGGGTCATCTAGTCTGACCCCCTTCCTTTTGCCAGGCAGGGAGACACCATTCGATTCCTCCTGACAGATGGCCACCTCGATTCTGATTTTCATTATTAATATAACCATAGAATCCTAGAGTTGGAAGGGACCTCCATGGATCATCTAGTCTGAAACTCTTACTTTTCCTAGGCAGGAAGACACCATTCAATCCCTCCCGACAGATGGCCATCCAAACTCTGATTATTATTAATATAACCATAGAATCCTAGAGTGGGAAGAGATCTCCAAGGGTCATCTAGTCTGACCCCCTTCCTTTTGCCAGGCAGGGGGACACCATTCGATCCCTCCTGACAGATGACCACCTGGATTCTGATTTTCATTATTAATATAACCACAGAATCCTAGAGTGGGAAGAGACCTCCAAGGGTCATCTAGTCTGACCCCCTTCCTTTTGCCAGGCAGGGAGACACCATTCGATTCCTTCTGACAGATGGCCACCTGGATTCTGATTTTCATTATTAATATAACCATAGAATCCTAGAGTTGGAAGGGACCTCCATGGATCATCTAGTCTGAAACTCTTACTTTTCCTAGGCAGGAAGACACCATTCAATCCCTCCCGACAGATGGCCATCCAAACTCTGATTATTATTAATATAACCATAGAATCCTAGAGTGGGAAGAGATCTCCAAGGGTCATCTAGTCTGACCCCCTTCCTTTTGCCAGGCAGGGAGACACCATTCAATCCCTCCTGACAGATGGCCACCTGGATTCTGATTTTCATTATTAATATAACCATAGAATCCTAGAGTGGGAAGAGATCTCCAAGGGTCATCTAGTCTGACCCCCTTCCTTTTGCCAGGCAGGGGGACACCATTCGATCCCTCCTGACAGATGACCACCTGGATTCTGATTTTCATTATTAATATAACCACAGAATCCTAGAGTGGGAAGAGACCTCCAAGGGTCATCTAGTCTGACCCCCTTCCTTTTGCCAGGCAGGGAGACACCATTCGATTCCTTCTGACAGATGGCCACCTGGATTCTGATTTTCATTATTAATATAACCATAGAATCCTAGAGTTGGAAGGGACCTCCATGGATCATCTAGTCTGAAACTCTTACTTTTCCTAGGCAGGAAGACACCATTCAATCCCTCCCGACAGATGGCCATCCAAACTCTGATTATTATTAATATAACCATAGAATCCTAGAGTGGGAAGAGATCTCCAAGGGTCATCTAGTCTGACCCCCTTCCTTTTGCCAGGCAGGGAGACACCATTCAATCCCTCCTGACAGATGGCCACCTGGATTCTGATTTTCATTATTAATATAACCATAGAATCCTAGAGTGGGAAGAGATCTCCAAGGGTCATCTAGTCTGACCCCCTTCCTTTTGCCAGGCAGGGGGACACAATTCGATCCCTCCTGACAGATGGCCACCTGGATTCTGATTTTTATTATTAATATAACCACAGAATCCTAGAGTGGGAAGAGACCTCCAAGGGTCATCTAGTCTGAAACTCTTCCTTTTGCCAGGCAGGAAGACACCATTTGATCCCTCCTGACAGATGTCCACCTGGATTCTGATTCTCATTATTAATACAAATATAGAATCCTAGAGTTGGAAGGGACCTCCAAGGATAATCTAGTCTGACCCTCTTCTTTCTTCCAGGCAGGAAAGCACCATTCAATCCCTCCCAACTGATGGCCATTTGAATTTCCATACCTATTTTACAGAAATCTTCGATAGAAATAAGATTTCAATATGTTTAATTTTAGAATTTTTACAATGTTTGTACGTGTTTAATTACGCTGTAATTAAAGCCACAAGGAGAGGCGGATAAGAAATATGATTATTGTATTATTATTATTATTATTATTATTATTATTATTATTGTTTCTGGTGCATTGGAGAAAGAAAAGAATGGCTCAGTGGTTCTCAACCTGGGGTCCCCAGATGTTTCTGGCCTACAACTCCCAGAAATCCCAGCCAGTTTACCAGCTGTTAGGATTTCTGGGAGTTGAAGGCCAAAAACATCTGGGGACCCCAGGTTGATAACCACTGGCGCTAGATAATATGGTTACGACCAAAATGCATATGTATATGAAAGAAGGAGATGTATGTGAAAGAGGAAAGTGGTCCCAGTGGTGGCACACTGGGTGCAGTGCCTCAGGACTTTGGCCTGCACCTAAAAACAATCAGCACTGACAAAATTACCATCTGTCAGCTGCAAAATGCCACCCTACTGGGATCTGCACCCATTATTTGCCAATCCATCACACTGTCCTAGACACTTGGAAAGTGTCTGACGTGTAATCCAATACAAAAGCCAGCAGAGTGATCTTGTTTACTGTGTACTAATCTTATTTGTACTAATCACACAAATAACAACAACAACAACAACAACAACAATTTTGTGTGACTGATGTGGGGCTGGCTCGGGCTTTTAAATGGACATAATGATGATGATGGTGATGATGATGATGATAATAACAACAACAACAACAACAACAACAACAACAACAACAACAGAATGGCCAGTGTTTCCAGAAGGTCCTCTGTGATGCCAAATGAAACCACCACAGCCACCACAATTCTTGGGACGGATTTGCCCCCCAAAAAGTGCATTGCTTTAATTATAAACATCGATACAAACTCGTATTTTTTGGTCTTTGTGGAACGGCAATGACAAAGCTGCAGAGTTTTAAGTCCTTGTAAACCAGGGTGAGAATTCGGGCAGTGTACCGCGAAGAAAGGCAAGGGAAGGCACAATTGGGAGGGAGCAAGATCCCAAAATGACGGTCACGGTTGCTTTTGGCGGAAGGAGCCAGCCATCCCTCTGGTCCTCTTGTCTTGGCGTTTCTGTCAGTGTTTTGGTCCCTTGTGAGGAAGGGGAGCCCTTCGCGGCAGATCCCAGTCGGAGAAAACAAGGCACCGAAAGGCTAGGGATGCTTCCCTCTTCCTTGAGAGAAAGGAGAGAGAAAGGGGGATATTAATAGCAACAACAACAACCTTGGTGCGAACAGGAAAATAATGTCTGTAAAAAAAAAAAAAAAAAAGAGGAGTAAGAGAATCATTGAAGGGGACCTCTAAAGGCCATCTAGTCCAACCCTCTTCTGCCTTCATGCAGGAAAGACACAATCAAAGCCCCTCTGACAGATGGCCATTCAGCCTCTGTTTACAAGCCTCCAAGGAAGGAGCTTCCAGTAGACTCCGAGGCAGAGAGTTCCACTGCTGAACAGCTCAAGTGGAATCTCCTTTCTTTGCTGTCATTTGAATCCATGGCTCCATTGAGTCCTGGTCTCCAAGGCAGCAGAAAAGAAACCTGCTCTCTCTCCCTTATGGCATCTTTTCCACATATTTATACATGGCTCTCATGTCTCTTCCTCTCAGCTTTCTCTTCTGCAATCTAAACAGACCCGGCTCTTTAAGTCCCCCGACCTTCATGATCCCCAGACCTTTTTTTTTTTAAGTCTGTTCCCAGAACCATGATTTTAATTTCTTCCTGAAAGATAGGAGCGGTGGAGTCGACCTTATCTCGCTGGGAAGCGAGTTCCACAGGCGGGGGGACCATCACTGAGAAGGCCCTGTCTCTCGTCCCCACCAAATGCATTCCATTATCAGAAGCATGGCTTTAGCTGTTTGTATTCCAGTATTCTGTTTGTGTGGTGAATGGTTAGAGGAAGTGTAAGAAAGTGAAATGAGGAAAAAATAAATGGTAGACTTACTATGTGTCAGTAAAATTCGTACATAGCCCTTTGAGCAGAAATAAACCATGTTTTGAGTGGAGTACAGAAGAGGAAATGAATTCCAGATGAGAAAAATGAGATCCCAATAAATATAAAATTATTTTATCGATAATTTCCATTTTTATTCCTGTGAGTGGTTGTGTAGGCAGAGATTAGTGCATTGCTTTGCCCCAAGGGCCTATAATGCTGTTAAGACATCCCTGTTCCAATTGGGAACAAAACCTTGCATCCTCCTCCTCCACCACCTCCTCTTCCTTATTATTATTATTATCATTATTATTATTATCCCTCTTGAACTGCTTTGCCCAAAATTGGACAGAGTATTCCAGGTGGGGACTGACCAAAGCACAATAAAAAGGCACCATGACTTCCCTCGATCTAGACACTCAACTCCTTTGGATGCAGCCCAAAATCCATTGGATTTTCCTGCTGCTGCATCACACTCTTGGCTCAAGTTCATCTTGTTGCCCACAAAGAGCACTGTCCACAAAGGACATCCCACTGACCTCTGGAGCCTGGTCATCCTGCACGCTCTTCCAGGAGGCTCTCAGTGCTGGCCGATGTCTCTGAGTCGAGGTTCTCCTCGTCAGAGCCCCGCTGGTCCAGCTCCGGCAGACGGTACGTGATGTCCTCCCTGGATGGGAAAGAAACACAGGCTGGATAATGCACTCTCGTCCAATATTGCAACCCAACACATTGCTTTACAGTCCTCAGGATTGCACCCCCTTCAACCAGTGCAGGGTTTTGGGGGAGTACAATGACAATCAAGCGACTTGAGAAACTGCAAGTTGCTTCTGGTATGAGAGAATTGGCCGTCTGCAAGGACACTGCCCAGGGGACGCCCCAATGTTTCATGTTTCACCATACTTGTGGGAGGCTTTTCTCATGGCTCTACATGGGGAACTGGAGATGACAGAGGGAGCTCAACCCGCTCTCCCCAGATTCAAATCACTGACCTATCGGTCAGCAGTCCTGCCGGCACAATGGTGTAACCCACTACGCCACCGGGGGCTCCTGGTAATCAAGTTATTCTATTAGATTCTCTCTTTCTACCTACCTACTTGCCTATCCGTTTCTTTCTCTGTCTTCCTCTACCATCTCCTTATTAATACTCCTTTCCATCCATCCATCTAAATATTAAATTATCCCTCTATTTATTTATCCTCGTATCTATGTACCTTTCTATCTGTCACTTATCTACTTATCTATCTCTCCATTCGTTTCTCTCTCTTTCATTAACCTCTCTGTCCACCTCTCCACATTCATTCATGTCTTTCTTCTATCTACTGATCTATCCATATTCCTTCTAGATCTACTTATCATCTATCTGTCTGTCTGTCTCCCCATCCATCTGTCCACCAATACATTTTTCTTTCTTTCTCTCTCTTCACCTGTGTCTTTATCTATTTCTCCAACCATCCATCCACCCATCTACCAATAAATTTCTCTCCTTTTCTCTGTCATCAATCAATCAATCAATCAATCAATCAATCAATCAATCAATCAAATCTATCTATCTATCTATCTATCTATCTATCTATCTACCCATCCACCCATTCATCAATACACTGTTCCCTCTTTCCCTTAACTCTTCATCTGTGTCTCTATCTATCTATCTATCTATCTATCTATCTATCTATCTATCTATCTATCTATCTATCTATCTATTTAAGGTAAAGGTTTCCTCCTGACATTAAGTCCAGTCATGTCTGACTCTGGGGTGTGGTGCTCATCTCCATTTCTAAGTCAAAGAGCCGGCGTATCCATAGACACCTCCAAGGTCATGTGGCCAGCATGACTGCATGGAGCGCCGTTACCTTCCCGCCAAAGCAGTACCTATTGATCTACTTACATTTTGCATGTTTTCAAACTGCTAGGTTGGCAGAAGCTAGGGCTGACAGCAGAAGCTCACGCCACTCTCCTGAATCGAACCTGCGACCTTCCGGTCAACAAGCTCAGCAGCTCAGCTCTTTAACCCACTGCACCACCGGGGGCTCCCATCTATCTACCTTCCCATTAATCCATTCAGCAATACACTGTCCCCTCTTTCTCTATCTTCTGTCTGTCTCCCGATCCATCCATTTACCAATATATTTCTCTCCTTCTCTCTATCTTTTCATCTGTGTCTTTTTCTCTCTCTATCTATCTATCTTATCTCCCCACCCACCCACCCACCAATATTTATTTATTTATTTATTTAAAACTTTTATATCCCAATCTTCTCCACCTCCGTAGAGGGACTCAGACCGGCTCACAGCAAGGATTCAATGCTAATAATACAGACTAAAACATCATATAACAGTAAAAAAATTAAAATACATATAGAATATATACATAAAGCCAAATTGCCAAGATAAAATCATGTCCAACTCAGTCTGCATATGTGGTCGCTAACTTTAGTCTATAACCAGTCTCAGCCATTAATCTGGGAATGCTTCGTTCCACAGCCAGGTTTTCACTAGCCTCCTGAAGGTCAGGAGGGAGGGGGCAGATCTGATTTCACACGGGAGAGAGTTCCATAGCCGAGCCCCTTCTTCACTCATTTCTCCTCCATCAGAGACTGGATTCGTTCCATCAAGAGCTCCTTCTCCTTTTGTCAGCCTCCTCTTCCTCCTCTGGGAAGAATACATTTCTCTCCTTCTCTCTATCTCTTCACTTGTGTCTTTCTCTCTCTCCTCATCCATCCACCCATTCACCAATACATTTCTCTTTTCTTTCTCTATCTTTTCATCTGTGTCTTTCTCTATCTATCTATCTATCTATCTATCTATCTATCTATCTATCTATCTATCTATCTATCTAAGCTCCCCATCCATCCAACCATCCATCCATCCACCAATACATTTTTCTCTCTTTCTCTACCTCTTCACCTGTGCCTTTATCTATCTATTTATAGAATCATAGAATCATAGAGTTGGAAGAGACCTCATGGGCCATCCAGTCCAACCCCCTGCCAAGAAGCAGGAAAATTGCATTCAAAGCACCCCTGACAGATGGCCATCCAGCCTCTGTTTAAAAGCCTCCAAAGAAGGAGCCTCCACCACACTCTGGGTCCAAGCTTTTGAGGCTGGATGGCCATCTCTTGGGAGGGATTTGATAGTGTCATGGCAGAATAGGGTTTGGACTGTTCCAATTCCCTTCCAACTCTAGGATTCTATAGCAATATTTCTCCCATTAATTATTTCTATAATCATAGAACCATAGAATCAAAGAGTTGGAAGAGACCTCATGGGCCATCCAGTCCAACCCCCTGCCAAATCACCCCTGACATATGGCCATCCAGCCTCTGTTTAAAAGCTTCCAAAGAAGGAGCCTCCACCACACTCCGGGGCAGAGAGTTCCACTGCTGAATGGCTCTCACAGTGAGGAAGTTCTTCCTCATGTTCAGATGGAATCTCCTCTCTTGTAGTTTGAAGCCACTGTTCCATTGCGTCCTAGTCTCCAAGGAAGCAGAAAGCAAGCTTGCTCCCTCCTGCCTGTGGCTTCCTCTCACATATTTATACATGGCTATCATATCTCCTCTCAGCCTTCACTTCTTCAGGCTAATCATGCCCAGCTCCTTAAGCCACTCCTCATAGGGCTTGTTCTCCAGACTCTTGATCATTTTAGTCTGTCTGTCTGTCTGTCTGTCTGTCTGTCTGTCTATCTATCTATCTATCTATCTATCTCCTCTTCCATTTATCCAATACATTTCTCCTCTCTGTGTCTTCACCTGTCACTTTCTTATTCTTATTATTTACCAACCAGAACAAAGGATGACTCCAGGCAATAAACAATTCAAAACAATTTAAAAACTTGGCTGTTCCGTTGTGCCTTCTCAGATTAGGAATCCCCACCCCAAGTCCAAATAGCACCTTAGTATAACAAATCGTTACTGCACACCGCACTTGAAATCCTACGTGCCTCCTGCCATTTCAGCACTTTTAATCCCTTGGACCCAGTGCGCTGGCCGAACCAGTTTTAATAATGTCTTGATGTACTGCTATTGTTGTTATTTTGCTATTGTTTGATTTGTTCTGCTTTTGTGATGTCTGTTTCTATTATATTGTGTTTTGTGGCTTCGGCCTGTGTAAGCCGCATCAAGTCCTTCGGGAGATGCTAGCGGGGTACAAATAAAGTTAATAATAATAATAAATAAGTTAATAATAATTCAAAGGGAACAAAGGCCAGGCTACTAGGCAGGTGCCTTCACTGATGGACTATGTAATCTTCATGTTTACTTACATGTTAATGGGTGGATCTCACCCAAGCTTGCTCATTGCACCTTAAGACAATGTACCTTCTTCCCACCCTGGACATTATTCCACAGGTATATAATATCCTCTACTTGCTTGACTCCCATCTGACCCTCTGAAGATGCCAGTAGCCACAAATGCAGGTGGAATGTCAGGAGCAAATGCTGCTAGAACGCATTGGCCGTAACAGCCCGGAAACCATACAACAACACCAGTGATTCTGGCTTTCCATGAAACACCTTTAAGAATACATAGACCTATCGATCTCTCCCCAAATGAGCCCCTTCTTCACTCACTTCTCCTCCTTCAGAGACTGGATCCGTTCCATCAAGAGCTCCTTCTCCCGATTGTCGGCCTCCTCTTCCTCCTCAGGGAGGAAACCCAGTTTGGGAACAGAGCTGCTGCCATCGGAAACAGTGCTTTGGGGACTGCTTTTGTTCTGCAAAAGAGATAAGATGCTGCTAGTAAATGCCCACCAACGAGGCCAATCGCCTTCTCCAGACCGGGAGGAAAATGGCTTCCGTTGGCCTGTTTCTCACCCTCCTTTGGGCTTGGAAATCCACCATGCTCCAAGAGGTTAGTATCAAAGGAAAGACCTTTTCTCTCCCGCAGCGCAACCAAAAGCCAACAAAGCTCTGTCAGTGTTTACAAATGACAGATAGAAAGAGAGAGAGGAAAACTACATTGTGTTTGTGGTTAGTATGAAAGCAGGACTTTTGAGACACGTCCCAAAGCATTTCCCCCCTCCAGATGTATTTGTTATTATTAGAAACAAATCTAATAATAATTAGGGGTGTGCGAAATTCAGGCAGTCGATTCAGACTTTGGCAATTCGTAGATATGTGAACTGCCAGAAACAAAACATCGGGAGGCCAAAACAGAATTCTGGGAAGAAGTTTGTTTATATTCTGGTCATTTTTCCCATGGTTGAATCAACCATATTTATTGTATCGCATGGTCAGCTGCAGGCAATCACAGGCGGTTTTCCTCTCCATTGTCCTGAATTCCATGTTGTTTTTTTCCTGCAAGTTGTCTCCTCCTCTCATTAGGAATAGAAAATTTTAAAAATTAAAAAAAAATCAGTGAATGAGCAAAACGTTCTGAAAACTTGACAGTGAATGATGCCCTACTCATGTTCTGTCACTGTGGGAAAAATCCAATGGATATCTCTTTGGAGTGTATTTTTTTAAAAAAATTGTAAAAACTTTTTAAAATTCCCAAAAATCACTGGATGAGCAAAACAGTCTGAAACTTTGCAAGAACAATGCCCTGTTCAGGTTCTGTTGCTGTGGAGAAATTCAAACAGATACCTCTTTTGGGTATTTCTTTAAAAATGTTATTTCTAAAAACTTATTTAAATTTCCAAAGTATCAGTAGGTGAGCAAAACGTTCTGAAACTTGGCAGGCTTACAGTTGTAAACATGTCCTACGAGTGTGCCAAGTTTCATTATGATAAGCGTAATGGAAGTTTAGAGCAGTGGTTCTCAACCCATAGGTTCCCCCCAGATGTTTTGGCCTACAACTCCCAGAAATCCCAGTCAGTTTACTAGCTGTTAGGATTTCTGGGTATTGGAAGGTCAAAACATCTGGAGACCCACAGGGTGAGAACTACTGCTCTAAACTTTCTTTATTAGCACCAATGGACTGAAACTCATCGAACCGGAAACAGAACTCAGGATTTCAAATTTTGAATTTGTAAAAACTTTAAATTTTTTTTAAAAAATCAGTGAATGAGTGAAACGTTCTGAAACTTGGCAGGCTTACAGCCTGAAATGTGTCCTACGAGTGTGCCACGTTTCACCCCAATAGCCATAAAAATGACAGAGAAACAAGCCTCTATTTTTTTCCAATTGATTGTGTCTTACCAAACTCAGGGTTTCAAATTTGTAAAAAAATATATCAGTGGATGAGCAAAACATTTTGAAACTTGGCAGGCTTACAGTCGAAAACATTTCCTACAAGTGTGGCAAGTTTAATTCTGATAGCTGTAAAAAATGATGGAAAAAGGAGCCTCTGAATTTTCCCGGTTTGCGCCAATGGACCGAATCTTACCAAAACGAAAGCAGAACTCTGGATTTCGGATTTCAAGTTTGTAAAAACTTTTAAAAAATCCCAAAAAAATCAGTGGATGAGTGAAACGTTCCGAAACTTGGCAGGCTTACAGTCGTAAATGTGTTTTACGAGTATGCGAAGTTTCATCATGATAACCATAAAAATGACAGAGAAACAAGTTTCTAAAGTTTCCCCATTGACAACAATAGATTGAATCTTACCGAACAGGAAACTAAACTCAAGAGTTTCACATTTCAAATTTGTAAAACGTTTTTAAAATTTTCTAAAAAATCAGCAGATGAAACGTTCTGAAACTTGGCAGGCTTACAGTTGAAAACGTGTACTGCAAGCATACCAAGTTTCATCCTGATAACCGTAAAAATGATGGAGAAATGAGCCTCAGGAATTTTCCCGATTTGTGCCAATGGACCAAATCTTACCGGAACTCAGGCTTTTTGAATTACAAATACTTCTCCTAATCTTCTCGAATCTTCCCTGAAAACAGAATAGTGGTGGGCACCCAAAATTTAAAACAAAAATAGAACGGATTTCTGTCATTTCGCACACCCCTATATAATGGTTATGCATCCTTTTGTTGTAAACGGTTAGTTTGCCACCTAGGAAGCGTGTGCGGTCCCAAAACATGCAGGCTTTGGAGGATCAGCAGGGATGTTTGCAGCCCTTTCTGGGGATTGCCGAGGGAGTTTTGGGGGAGACTAATAAATACTCCATGCACCACTCGCGCACCGGGCGTCCACCTACCCGTGCTCCCTCGCGGGGAGACGAAAACCCCAGTTTAACGGGCCAGAGCTGGAGGAAAGGAGAAAAAGCAATACGTAGAAGCTCAAACCCCTCTTAGGATTTAGGCAACTGATCACGGTTTTGTTTTCAAGTGCTCTTAGTTTCATGTACCAAGTTCTTGCCAAGCTCCCGTTTTGTTTATGGGATTTTTCATCCTGTATAGGTTCATGGTTTCAAGTGCCTAGTTTCATGGATTTTATGTACTTTTGAATCTTCCTTTGAGGTTTATGGACTACTAGCTGTACTCGCCACGCGCTGCTGTGGCCAACCTTCCCTCCCTCTTTCCTTCCTTCGCTCTTTTTCTTTCCCTTCCATCTCAAATCTTTTTATTTATTTTTTTATTTCGAGGTTTTATATACCGACCCCCTCACCTTCAAAGAGGGATTCGGACCGGTTCACAACATGTGTTAACATACAAAAAATATACAATAACAACACAATGCCACTTCATTACACGATTAAAATATCAGCACCATACACATTAAAACATTATCATCACAGTTAAAAGAGCCAAATCGTCCACACCATCACAATCCCATTCATCATCCTCCTTTCATGTGGGCAAAGAATTAAATCAGTTGTCAAATGCCGCGTTCCACAACCAGGTCTTTGTTAGTTTCCTGAACGTCATGAGGGAGGGGGCAATTCTGATCTCTAATGGCAGGAAGTTCCAAAGTCGAGGGGCCACCATCGAGAAGGCCCTGTCCCTTGTCCCCACCAGCCGTGCTTGTGCAGGCGGTGGGACCAAGAGCAGGGCCCCTCCAGACGATCTTAGTGGTCTTGATGGTTCGTAGGGGAGAATACGTTCGGAGAGGTAAACAGGGCCGGAGTCGTTTAGGGCTTTATAGGTTAACACCAGCACTTTGAATTGTGCTCGGAAGCTAATTGGCAGCCAGTGGAGTTCGTGTAACAGCGGAGTGGTGTGCTCCCTGTACCCCGCACCCGTTAGTAATCTGGCTGCCACGCGTTGTACTTGCTGCAGCTTCCGGGCAGTCTTCAGAGGCAACCCCACGTAGAGAGCGTTGCAGTAATCTAAGCGGGATGTAACCAAAGTGAGAAATCTTTCTTCTATCTCTACCTGTTTCTTTCCTCTCTTTCTTTGCTCTTTGGTTACATCCTTCTTTTTCTCTTTCCTTCCTTCCCTCCTCTTTCTCTCTTTCGTTCCTGAGAAAAGCCTATATATACCTCTATCTATGTACAATTGTGTCTTGTCAGTGTATAATGGCACTGAATGTTTACCGTATATACATGTTCTGTGATCCATCCTGAGTCCCCTTCGTGGTAAGAAGGGCAGAATATTAGCATTGTAAATAAACAAACAAATTATTATTATCATTATTATTTAAGCTGATGTTGTTAGTATTATAATCATTACTTAATGATAGAAGGAAATTATCTTTCTCTTTTCTATAATAATAATAATAATAATAATAAATAATAATATTTTGCCCAATATTTATGTTATTGTTCTTTGTCCACTGTTTCTATTATTATATACTATTAATCTGATTCTTCTGACACATATCCAGAAATCTTATGTGAGAGGAATGAGAAGTTTCCTTCCAACGTTAAATAATAATAATAATTATTATAATAACAACGGTACACCAGGAAAATGCCTCTTCTCCTTGAATAATAATAATAATAATAATAATAATAATAATGAAGAATCAGGTAAAATAATAATAATAATACTTCAAATATTGATGTTGTTATTTACCTACTATTATTATTATTGTATATAACATCACAGCACACATGCATATTAGGTCCAAGTGTCTGGGATTCATCTCTGAATATCGAGCTCTTTCCAAGGGCCTAGGATAATAGAGTTGTTATTATTATTATTATTATTATTATTATTATTATTATTATTATTATTATTATTAGAAACACTATAAGATGAATCCACAGCAGACACAGCTGTTGTATTGGATCACATGTCGGACACTTCCCAAGTGTCTAGGACTGTGTGATGTATAAGCGAATAATGCATGCAGATTCGAGTTAGGTGGCCTTCTGCAGCTGGTAGATGGTAATCTTGTCAGTGCTGATTGTGTTTAAGTGCAGGCCAAGATCTTTAGGTACTGGACCCAGTGTGCTGATCACCACTGGGACCACCTTGACTGGCTTGTGCCAGAGTCTTTGCAGTTCGATCTTTAAATCCTCATATAGTGTCAGCTTTTCCAGTTGTTTCTCTTCAATCCTGCTGTCACCTGGGATTGCAACATCAACAATCCATACTTTGTTTTTTAACACAATTGTGAGGTCAGGAGTATTGTGCTCCAAAACTCTGACTGAATTAGGAAGTCCCAGATTATTATTATTGTTGTTGTTATTATTATTGGAATATTATTATTATGATCTGGTGTTCCAACAACAACAACAACAACAACAATTATAATAATATAATATAAGGTCTTGCATTTTGCAAAGCAACAGAAAATAGGAAGCCTTGCCGGCGCCTCCCCATCTCCGATGATGCTCACCGTGTTCTGCCGCAGCAGCGAAAGCCGTCGGAAGGCAATGCTCTCGGCTGCCTCCAGCTGGCAAATCTCCTCCATTTTCAGCTTGTATTTCCTCATCTGCTCCTTAATGACCATTTCAACGCATCTAGAGACAGAGACAAGAGAGGAAGATGCAAGGGACTATCTGGGATCTTTTCACCGAAAGCAGAAATGGATAAGGTTGGTGCGTGCAGGGACAGGAAATGGATGGGTGATGGGAGAAGACCACCACAACAACCGAAATGATTCATGGCATGGCGTGGGAGGGAGAGAGGAGGGGCACACACGGCGGTGGCGCCATGCACAGAATGTGGCGGTGCGTATGAACAGCCAGCCAACCTCGGTCTCCTCCAGGGCCTCCGCCTGCCTTCTCTGCCCTCGTCCAAGTAGGGAACGTCCAGGCGCTACAGTCCCATTGGGGGGGCAAGGCTGAGCTGGAGAAAGGGAAAGCAGTTCAACCCAGGGGCAGAGGGGAGCCAGAAGGGACTGGAAAGAGGAGGGGGGTTAGGAAAGAGAACACGACTCCTTCACCTGCAGATAGATGTGGTCTACCCATCCATCCATCGTTACATCCATCCAACCAACCATCTATTTAGTCCATCTACCTATCTATCCATCTATTTGTCTATCTATCTGTCCATCCATTTTGTCTCTATTTATCCATCAATTCATTTATTTTGTCTGTCTATTTATCTATCCATCCATCCATCAATCTATTTTGTCTATTTGTCTATCTATCCATCAATTCATCCATCCATCCATCTTGTCTGTCTCTCTCTCTCCATCCATCCATATTTTGTCTATCTATCTCTATCCATCCATCTTGTCTCTATCTATCTATCTATCTATCTATCTATCTATCTATCTATCTATCTATCCTTCCATATATTATCTAGCTATCTATCTATCAATTTATCCATCATCTATTTTGTCTCTATCTATCCATCCATCCATCCATCCATCCATTTTGTCTATCTATCTATCTATCCATCCTCTCTATTTTGTCTATTTATACATCCATCCATCTGTTCTGTCTGTCCATCTATTCATCCATCTTTCTCTGTCTATCAATCCATCTATTTTGTCTGTCTATTTATCTATCCATCTTATCTATTTTGTCTATCTACCCATCCATCCATCTATTTTATCTATCTATCTGTCCATCCATCTATTCTGTCTGTCTGTCGGCCTACCTATCCATCCATCTATTTATTCTGTCTGTCTGTCCATCCATCTAGTTTGTCTGTCTGTCTGTCTGTCTGTCTGTCTGTCTATCTATCTATCTATCTATCTATCTATCTATCTCCCCATCCACCCATCTATTATTTTGTCTATTTGTCCATCCATCTATCTATTCCAGCTATCAATCCATTCACCTATTTTGTCTATTTATCTATCTATCCGTCCATCCATTTTGTCTACCTACCTATCCATCGATCTATTTTGTTTATCTACCTCCCTACTCACCCATCGATCTATTTTGTCTATCTGTCCATCCATCTATTTTGTCTATCTATACATCCATTCATCTATCTATTCTGTTCAGCCATCCATCCATTTTGTCTGTCTATCTACCTAACTACCTACCCATCCACCCATCGATCTATTTTATCGATCTATATGTTCATCCATTTATTTTGTCTATCTATACAGCCATCTTTTCTATGTATCCATCCATCTATTTTGTCTATCTATCTATCTATCTATCTATCTATCTATCTATCTATCTATCTATCTATCTATCCATCCATCCATCCATCCATCCTATCTATTTTGTCTATCTATACATCGATCCGTCTATCTATTCTGTCTGACTGTCTGTCCATCTATTTGCCTATTTGTCTGTCCGTCCGTCCAGCCATCCAACTATTTTGTCTGTCTATCCATCCATCCACACATCTATCAATTTTGTTTGTCTGTCTATCTATCTATTAATCTATCTATCATCTATCCATCCAACAATCTATAGTAAGGAGTTGGACTGGATGCCCCTTGGAGTCTTTTCCAGTTTTAGGATTGATTCTATCTATCTATCTATCTATGAATCGATCTATCATGTCTCTCTTTCCCTCTCTCTCTTCCATGTCTATCATGTATCTTTCTTTATCTAATCTGATTTAATCTATGTCTATCATGCATCTCTCTCCCCCCATCATGTCTACCATGTCTTTCTCTCTCTTGTCTATAACTTCTCTCTCCCCCCCCTTTTATAATAATAATAATAATAATAATAATAATAATAATTTTATTTATACCCCACCACCATCTCCCCAAGGGGACTCGGGGCATCTTACATGAGGCCAAGCACAACAACACATCAGTAAAAATAAACAGCAAGCAAATAAAACAGTACAATTAATATAACTTACATATAAACAACAACACAGAGAATTTAAAACCTTTTATGTCTATCATTTCTTTATCTAATCTAATCTATGTCTATCATTCATCTCTTTTTCCTCCTCTCTCTATCATGTCTATCACATCTCTCTCCCCCTGTTCTCTATTATCTCTCTCTCTTAGTCTGTGGTGACTTTCGTGTCTCTCTTTCCCTATCTATTTCAGGGGTTCCCAACCTTTGGACCTCCAGGTGTTTTGGACAGTTCCTAACAGCTGGTAAAGTGGCTGGGATTTCTGGAGTTCCAAAGGTTGGGAACCACTGATCTATCTGGAATGTCTATCATGTCTATCAATCTTGTCCGACTAGTCTCTATCATATCTACCTGTCTGTGCATGTCAATACTCCCATCCATCTGCCCAGTAATCCCAACTTGTTGGGATTTGGGACATTTTGATTCAGAAATGCATGGGATCCCAGTGTGACCTCTGCTCAGTGTGGGATCTCCAGTGAAAGCCAAAGACAGACTCACATGGTAGTTTTGGAGACCTCCTTCATGCTGGTGAGGGGGTCAGAGTTGTCCGGGCAGCGCAGGAGGCAGGGGGCGAAGACAATGGCCAGGGCGTTGGGCGACATGCGGTTGATCTCCTCCAGCAGGGCCACTCTGGGTGTGGGAAGGAAGAAAAAGAGACTTCCCATCATGTCAGAAAGAGCCCTGGACTTTTCCCATCCACATTCCAGTTTAAAAACGTGGGACGATGGTGGCAGAGATAGGGAACATTCAGGAGGTCATGGGGACGGATGGCAGGGAGGAGAAGGCAGCCCTTACTTGACCAGGTGGAAAATGAGCCGCTCCAGAGTGTCATGGTTGGCCCGTGGGAGCTGCTCAAGGGCGCTGTAAATGGCACAGAGCTGTTCTTGCTTCCCCGGGAGTTCTGCAGAGGAAGAGGAAGAAGAGTCAAAGAGTGATGATGGTGATGATGATGATGATGATTCTGGCCCTTGGTCTGAACTAGCCACCTCTACCTCTCCCACCTCACAGTGGCCTCTTTCTGCCATCTACATCTATCTGGGGTGATGCGATTCTGGGGTTCGCTCTCTAACCCTGTCCTCAACCGGAACTCACCTACAGCCCGGAGGAAGTCACTGTACTGAGCAAAGGTCATGAGTGGGTCTGGCAACTCCCGCAGCCACTGCTTCAAAATCCCAGTGATGGTGTGGATGGGGTAGTTCTCCAAGCGCACCTTGTTTGGGTCTGAGGAGCCGGGAAAACGAGAGAGAGAACAAGGAAGAGTGAGGAGGAGTCTCCCAAGCCACAAAAAGAGCAGAAATACAGGGATACCTTGACTTAAGAGTTATTCTGTGACCAAGCTATAAACTCGAATCACTCTTATCTCAAAGCAAAATTTCCCATTGAAACACTATTAATCCTAGGTTCTTGTGGGTTTTTTCGGGCTATAGAGCCATGTTCTAGAGGCATTTCTCCTGACGTTTCGCCTGCATCTATGGCAAGCATCCTCAGAGGTAGTGAGGTCTGTTGGAATTAGGACAATGGGTTTATATATCTGTCAAGGCACCCGATTTAACCCATTGTCCTAATTCCACCCTCGGCTTATATTCGAGTCAATCCATTTCCTCAGTTTTTTGTGGTAAAATTAGGTGCCTCGGCTTATATTCGGGTCAGTTTATACTCAAGTATACAACAACAACAATTCTTTATTGATTAGTCAATTTTGACCATATCAAAACATGCAAAACATACAAAAACATACACACTTGGCCATACATACTCGAGTATATACGGTATAAATGCATATTTGAATGGAACAATAAAAAAGATAGATCAACTTTAATATGGTAGCACAAAAAAGCTGTGGCAAGAAAGCACAAGTGAAGGGCAAAAGCGTCATTTTCTTCACACTACTGTCCTCATTCTAGCTTCCCTCCCTCTCTTGCTCTCTCTCTCTCTCCTTTCAAGAAGCTAAACATACTGGGAATTAAAAAAACACAAAAAGTCAAAGCTTGATCAGTTTATCAGTTTTGTCATGTCTTATCATATGTATTTACTGTATTATTATAAGTGCCTTATTTTAACCTTCTACGTGGAGTGTGATCAGGTCTTGTCAGGCCTTGTTGTTCTGTTTCTTATTGTGATATGGCCTAAGGGCTAATCAATAAAATTACTACTAAATTACTACTATTATAAAATTCAATACTGGGTTTGTGAGTCTGCTTCTTTCTCTGAAAGTGCCTAATGCAGTATGTCCCACTGAAAACAGATTAAATAACATTTTGAAGGTTCTAAGCATACTCATAACACTAGACTCGAGTAAATATAGTAATAAGGAAAGCAGATAATGCTACCAATATGCGCATCCTCGCTATTTGTGTCCCCGGACAGAAGAAAAGAGAGAAGCCATCCCAGGGAGATGTGTTCCCCAAATAGGCCATGGGGCCGTCAGAGCCTCACCCGCCTGCAAGGACTGCTTCAGCTCCCTCATGCGGTTTGCGGAGCCCGACTTGCGGTAGATGCCCTCCGTGTACAGGCCGTGCATCTCCACGTATTCCAGCAGCTTCTCCATCACGACAGGGACTGCATTCTTCTCGCTGGTCAAGACACTCACGCATACCCCGAAGTGGCGGGGATCGGCCTCGTGGTCTCCCTGCAACCAGAAAAGGGGACTACTTTACCCTTTGTAAGACAAAACTGATCATCGGCTAGGAGTTGTGGGATTGAATCAAACAGAAAACAAGGAGGCAGCCAAAGCATTTTACAAAAACCCTTCCCCTGTAGACACAAGTTGCCTTTCTATGTATGGATCATTTTTTACAGATGGGGGAACATCTAGCAACAAATACTTAACAAATAGGGGAAGAAGACATACTTACCTGAGGTAAAAATATGTAGCCCAATGAAAATAAAAAACAATAGTCAAAACTAGTCCTGGTCTATAAATGATGTAAAAGTAAGCTAGTCTAAAGAGCAAGAGATTCCTAAGCTGCTGCAATAGCGGCGGATAAGAAGAACTGAAGCTGTAGCCTCACCCACTGGCTAATTATACTCACAAAGGGAGAGTGGGCGGGACTACCGCCAAAAATGTTTCTAATTCTATCTAGAAGGTTCCGAAGCTGTCTGCTCAGGCGCAGAATTTACCATATGTGCGGATTCACAGGGACCATGATGGGAAACAGCCATTTTGTGTCTGTGTGTGGATTTTTTTCTAATTCGGTTGTATAAGAGGACTACACAGAGAAGCCATTGAAATCCACATGTATGTGGACAATTTCAACAGAAAAGAGGAAACCATGAAAAAGAACAAAATCTGGCTACTAGTATTTTAAAACACTGGAATCAAGACAGTAAATAAAGAAAGAGAGGAACTCCAGACAGCAAACAATCAAGTGCCAGTGAACACCACCTAAACAAAACGTGCCTCCAAGCAGCAGAGGCAAGGCTACCTCTATGCAGACACCCTCACTGGTTGATTTTGCAGCTTCATGGCTACTTAATGCTATTCATGCTTGCTAAGTGCAACATTCACACTTGCATTAAACAGACAAGGATTCTTCCTCCCACCCTGGACATCTAACAGCAACCAGACGCAGAGCCTTCGCAGCAGTGGCACCATCACTCTGGAATACTCTGCCACCTGAAGTCCGTGCCTTGCGGGACTTACCAGAGCATGTAAGACATACCTTTTTCGACAGTATTTAATGTTTGATATTACTGTTTTTAAATTGTTTTAAATTGCTTTTAAATTTTGTTAGATTTTAGCCATCCTTGTAAGCCACTCCAAGCCCCAGGGGAGTGGTGGCATATAAGTTTAAATAATAAATAAATAAATAAATCATCCCACAGGGATGGATGGATATATATACACACACACACTCCACTTGCTTCACTACCTCTATGTAGAGACCCTCACTGATTGACTTTTGCAAACTTCATGGCTACTCCAAGATAATCAAACTTGCTAATTGCAACATTCACACTTTCTTCAAATAAACAAAGGTTCTTCCTCCCACCCTGGACATTATTCCACAGATATATATACACTCCACTTGCCTCATTTCCAACGGACCTCTGAACAAACCTCTGAGGATGCCAGCCACAGGTGCAGGCTGGAGAGGATAGTGCTAGAACATGGCCATACAGCCCAAAAATTCACAGCAACCCAGTGATTGCGGCCATGAAAGCCTTTGACAATACAATGAACAACCCACCTTCTTTGCTGTCGAGGAGGTGCATCCGCTTTGGATCCTGGGCAAACACTTCTTGTGGCAAGTCAGCTTACAGACTAGAGAACCGAAGGAGAAAGGAAATAAATTCAGGAGGGCTTGCAAGAGGACTTCCTCCATCCCTTGAGTTCACGAGTCCGACCTCAAAGAGGTCGACGTTTGTCTCAGGCTCCTCCAGCACTCACTTCTGCACAGGCAGGCCTTCTCCATGGGCCAAATGTAGGAGCAGCACTGTTCGCAGGACTGCAGGATGTTGACCTGGTAGCTCACAAAAACATGGCCATTCAGCTCCTCGATCTGCAAAATACAACACCACGGAATGAGCAGGCACAAAACTAGGTTGTTTTGTCGCTATAACCCTTTACCATGTCAGCTCCGGGGTTACTTTTTGTAACTTTCTCATGCTCTTCTAGGCAGCCGTGTTGACATTCTGATTGCTGTGCCCAAATTTCTCAGAACCGTCCTTTGGCTGACTGCGGCCAGGACAAACCCGAGTGACAGGTGGAAGCCAATCCCAAAACACGCACAAAAAGAAGGCCATAATAATCCCTCCCTCCTGCTGACTTTGACCTTCTTTGGGTGCCGCGATCAAGATGAGCGATCCCAATCCAAACCTGGCAAAAGGGCAGTCGTCATTGCAGGGCTACTCACCACCCGCTCCTGTTTCCTCTTCTTCTTGTGGCCCTTGCTGGGCTGTTGGGGGAAGAAGACAAAGGAAGATATGGCACCTTTGGCTCGACCGCCCCCTTCCCGAAGGCAACCCACACAAACCCTCTCCGATTGTAGGGAAGCCTGTCGGAGGCAAACCTTTGGCGGCTCCGGTTCCTCCTTCTTGGCGTAGCTGCGAGCGAATTCATCCAGGAGGGACTGGAAGAGGTTCAAGACCAGCTTGACATCCTTCCCCTCCCTCTGCTTGGCCATGTTGACCACCAGGAGCTGGTAGTTCTCCATCAGGTCTTGGTAGCCAACATGGATCTGGCCATTCTGTGGAAGCAAAGAAATTGAGTGTTGTAGCCCAGCAGTAGTCACAACAGCCAGGGGTGAATGGGTTCACTGATGATTTAGAGTTAGAAGGGATTGTGGACTTTCCTGGGATTCATAGTGATACAGGCCAAGGGAATGATACAGGCACAGAAAACAAAACCGCTTCAGATAGTGAAGCAGGGCCCGAGAATTTAATTGCCAGAGTCTCAAGGTCAGTCAAAGGAATTGGAATCATCCTCCCTAGATAAGGGGTCAAATGAAGAGAAACTGATAGGAAACTTTCATTGGTGATAGACACCTAAGCTAGGAAGTACACTTGCAGATTAGGGCAGATAGCCAGCTTCATGTGGCTTCATGGGAAGCAGATATTCTGTGGCAGATGTAATGATTTCATGCCTGTTTATTAAGAGCTAACGTACACTCTGACTTCAGTTCAAGCAACGTGGCGTTCAAGTTAGAAGCTAGGCCTGAGTTCTCGAGTTCATGTTTCAAGCCTAGGTTTTGGATTTAAGTATCTTGGGAGTTTTGCCATGTTCTTGTTTTGTATTCTTGTTCTAGTTTGTTAAGCATAGCTTTTGCTTGTGGACTTAAGCTGATTTTGCGTTTTGGGACTATCTTTGGACTGTGTTTCCTTTGGATTTATAAGAGACATTTGAATTCCTGTTTGATTATTACCTATTGCTGACCTATTGGGATCACACTCTGAAACCAAATTGGAGAACAAAAATCTATTTCTGGCTTGACAGTGTTGTTTCCTGTTTAATTGTGTGGCCCTTACTTTGAAATAGTTGTTTTCCAGAAACTTTGTTTGTGTGGCTGCCACAAACTTTGATGAATTGGTCATGGGTGTTCTGTATGCCAAGTTTGGTTGAATTCCATTATTGGGGAATTCAGAATGCCCTTTGATTGCAGGAGCTACTGCAACTCCCACATGTCTGAGTGTATTTTAACCAAACCTCTCCAGTATTTTCTGTTGGTCATGGGAGTTCTGCCGATAGGAACTCCCATGAGGCCCTTTTCACCAGTGCTGTAGATCTGCATTAACAATGTAGAACCAAAGGACCTGAAACTTGCCACCCGCTCCACCCAATCTCCATTATAACCAATGGCTGAATATCTGATCTATTCATTCTGAAATCTACTGTAAGATCCTTGGTTTGGTTGATGTTAAGGACCAAACTATTATTGGCCCTGCATCACAAGAGCAGCCACTCCGCCTCATCCCAGTCAGAGATAAGCCCCACCATTGTTGTATCACCTGCGAATTTGACAATGACATTACTATGGTGAATAGGAGTGTAATCATATGTGCAAAGAGTATAAAGTAGAGGACTCAACACACAACACTGTGGACTTGGAAGGGCCCTCAAAGACAATCTAATCCAGTGGTTCTCAACATGGGGTCCCCAGATGTTTTTGGTCTTCAACTCCCAGAAATCCTAACAGCTGGTAAACTGGCTGGGATTTCTGGGAGTTGTAGGCCAGAAACATCTGGGGACCCCAGGTTGAGAACCACAGATCTAGTCCAACGCAACAGCCATCTAGTCCAATGAAAAGACCATCTAGTCCACTCTTAGAATGACAGACTTGGAAGACTTGATGAGGTATAACTACCTAATCTAACCCTCTGGGAACGTCCAAACAAAAAGTCTATAATCCATGAAACATGATTGAACACAAAAGTCCAAGATCCATCACTTTAGACAGTAGTCTATGTGGAAGGATTGTGTTAAATGACAAACTAAACTCTGCAAAAAACATTCTCACATAGTTCCCCCATCGTCCCAGACGAGTGAGAGCAGTGCAGAGAGGGATGTAACACGCATGTATTACTTACTGGAGCAGAATACATGGTCTTGATGTTCCCCCGGAACTTCTCGGTGGCTTCGAAAAACAAGCATTCGACAGCAGACTCTTTGGAGTGGACATCGTTGATCTGACAACAGAAGCAGGGATGTACCGTAAGCATCTGCTTTAACAGGTAGGAAATTACTTTTTGTTCATCAAACTGGGCTGCAACTTTCATCGCTTGTGATGTTGCACCCCTAATCCTGAATAATAAATTATGCACTTGCTAGATTGGGAAAAGTTGAGCAGTTTTCATTTAAGTTTCCTCAAAAATACATGAAACTGACCTCTTTCATGTCAGTTTCTGAGAGGTCAGGGGTTCATCTATGATTATTATTTCCTTCAAAAATATTTTCTAATCGTGCTTTGGCCCAAAGCAACAATAAAAGGCTACTGTTCAGACATCCCTAACAGGGAGCAGCAGTGTTCCAAAGGACTAAGGATCTACTAAATATACTCAGCGATCTTCTCCACCGGTAGACCTGATTCTGGGCCCAAACACACATCTTGGCTTTCTTTTGCCTTAGTCTTTTTTACCTTCTTTTTAGGCGGCCCTGCCGCTTTGTTTGGCAGCCAACGAAGGTAAGTTCAAGCCCCCAGAAGGACCTGATGGTCCCGAAAAATGCTTGGGAGGTGCCGATGGCAAAAGCGCTCGCTCACACAAGGCAGCTTTAAGCCTTGATTCCTGGTTCTTTCTAGTCTGTGGCGTGAAAGCCTGACAGACAGCACAAGCCTGGGACAAATGTCCCTCACCAAGGCAAAGCTGGCACAGGGAATGGCCATCATTGTCGGGAAAATTATTTGGGCAATTGCCACACTGTTTAAAGGACGTGGTTGCCGACATAGTAAAGCAGAACAAACAATGAAATAACGACATGGCAGTCCGAGACAGTCCAGGTCAGGAATGGAGAATTTTAGAGTAGGTCAGAGCAGTCCAAGTCAAGGAATTGAGAAATTTAGAGTAGGTCAAGGCAGTCCGAGTCAGGAAATGGAGAAGTTCAGAGTCAAATCAAGGCAGTCCAAGTCAAAAAGCACAATAAGAAGATAGTCAAGATGAAGGTTCACAAGCTGCTGCTAAAGCAGCGGATGAAGAGAACTGGAGGCAGTAGCCCCTCCCACTGGCTATATATACTCGCAAGGAGAGAATGGGCGGGGCTACCACCAAAATGTTTAATAAATTGTATAGAACAGTGGTTCTCAACCTGTGGGCCCCCAGATGTTTTGGCCTTCAACTCCCAGAAATCCTAACAGCTGGTGAACTGGCCGGGATTCTGGGAGTTGTAGGCCAAAACATCTGGGGACCCACAGGTTGAGAACCACTGGTCTAGAAGATTCTGAAGCTATTCTGAGCAGGTGCAGAAAGTACCATATGTGCGATTCAGAGACCACAACGGAGAAACAGGCATATACAATAAGTCATAGATAAACAGGAGAGCAAAATTAAAAGCTTCTAATCTTAAGAATAAAAATTGCAACCGTCTCACAAAAAATGCATCAGAGTTGTTCAGAAGCTATAGAATTGTATAATACCCTTATCATTGGGGAAACTGTGAAAAGATTGAATTCCTGTATTTCATGCGTGTATTATCCTATTTAGAGCAAAGAAACACAGAACGGTGAAATGCTTCAACAGAGACCAAATCACAAGAACAAATCCTTTTGGAACAATGCACATTTTTTATATATCTCCCATCTGAAAGACATGATGGCAACACATTACATCTTGCGGTTGCCAAAGCTCTCCTCTGGGCGGGATGCATCAAAATAAGCAAAGATAAACTGCCATGACTCCATGTTCACACAGAGTGAATGACGTGGTAAGGGAACAAGATGCCTTTGCTGCCAGTCAATTGTTATGGAAGTCAAGATCCAAAAGTTTGCTCTTACAGAATGAATGACGTGGTAAGGGAACAAGCTGCCTTTGCTGCAAGACACAGGTTTGCAGCTTGGGAATTCTGGACTCATTGCTGAGCCTGGAACCCCAGGTTTCAGTGGTGGCCAGGGGAGCTTTCGCACAATTAAAACTTGTGCGCCAGTTGCACCCGCACCTTGGGAAATCAGACTTGGCCACAGTAGTCCATGCTCTTGTTACATCTCACATAGATTACTGCAACACGCTCTACGTGGGGCTGCCTTTGAAGACAGCCTGCACGTTTCAACAAGTCCAACAGGCAGCAGCCAGATTTCTAACTGGGGTGGCATACAGGGAGCATACTACTCCTCTGTTACGTCAGCTCCACTGGCTGCCAGTCTGCTACTGAGCCCAATTCAAAGTGTTGGTGTTGGCCTATAAAGCCCTATACAGTTCTGGTCCAACTTACCTGTCCGAACATATCTCCCTCTATGAACCTACAAAAGCCCTAAGATTGGCTGGGGAGGCCCTGCTCTCCATCCCAACCTCTTCGCAAGTACAATTGGTTGGGATGAGAGACAGGGCCTTCTCAGTGGTGGCCCTTCAGTTGTGGAACTCCCTCTGCAATGACATCAGGCAGGCCCCATCAATGATGTTTTTTTAAGAAACTTAAGACCTGGCTTATTATGGAAGTCAAGACCCAAAAAATCTGCTCTTATGGAATGAATGATGTGGCAAGGGAACAAGCTGTCTCTGTTGCAAGAGTCAGATTATGGAAATCAAGATCCAAATGTCAGCTCTTACAGAATGAATGACATGGTAGGGCAACAAGCCATCTTCATAGCAAGAATCAGATTATTATGGAAGTCAAGATCCAAAAGTCTGCTTTTACGGAATGAATGACATGGCAGGGGAACAAGTTGTCTTTGCTGCAAGAGTCAGATTATTATGGAAGTCAAGATCCAAAAGTCTGCTCTTACGGAATGAATGATGTGGTAGGGGAACAAGCTGCCTTTGCTGCAAGAGCCAGATTATTATGGAAGTCAAGATCCAAAAGTCTGCTCTTAACTGACTTGCAGGCTTTGTAAGAGTGCTTACAAAGACAGGCCAATTAATGGCTTCGATCTCTCTGAGAATAATCAAAGAATACCATTCTGAAATAAAATGATATGATAACAGAGGGAATATAGCTATCAGAATCTGCTTGAAAATATGAATGTGCAGCCAGACCTTTAAAGCTCTCATCTATGTCAAGGTTTCAAGAGTGGTTGACTGGTTTCAATACATCACACAGTGTTAGGCAGATTCCCACCTTGTTCAGAAGGAACTCGTCCAGGTATTTCAGCTCGTTGGCATTGGTGATGTCCCGCAGGAAGGGGGCTCGCCACTTCTCTGGTGCGGTTTTGGCTTTGCTGATCTTAATGGTGCGGCTCCGCTTGGCTTTGCCGCTTTCTTTGGCTGGCCGCTCCTCCGACTGCAGCCGTTGGGGAAGGCCAGAGGGAGCTGTGGGGCAGAAAGTGGGAGAGGGGATAGACAGATAGATCCTCTATAGACAGTTTCACAACTAGCTCTGGAGTCTTACACAGGTGGGGGGATTTTCTTATGGAGATGATCATATTTTCTATGGGGAAATTGTGCTTAGGTAGATGTATCCAATGGAGTATGCTTTCCTTCCTACCACACCCTTTTTCTCTAACCTCTCCCCATTTCATTAAAAATCATAAAAGCAAGCTTTGCTGTCGTGTGCCTTCAAGTTCCTTTAATCTGCATTTTAACTATCTGTATCTTGGGTTGGAACAGTGTTTTATCTCTTTGTTGTGGCTTTTTTGTACCCTATCTTGAACTGTAAGGAGACACTGGTATTATTATTATTATTATTATTATTATTATTATTATTATTATGGTATTTCCACCTTATCCATGAAAACTCAAAGAGGTTGCCTATAATATGTTTTCCCATCATTCCTGGGTGTATATGAAGCATCAGTGAATGTCATGTTTAGCCTTAGACCTCATTGGATGTGTTGCAATAGCAGATTCCCAGATTAGTTTAATGTTTACACCTTATTTTATTTATTTTGGTTATTTAATATTTAATGTTTCTTTTACTTAAGTGATATTTGTCTTTACTGTTCTAATGTAGCACCAATCCTATGTAAAATCGTACTATGTATTTTTGACATTAATATTGAAATCTGAAATATATACAGAAAAGTCTTAACTTATATGTATGTATGTATGTATATGCAAATACTGAGATCCCAAACGCATCTGGTCCCAAGCATTTTAGAGTAGGGACCCGTTTTGAGCTGCAAGGAGAGGTGGGTATCATCCTCATCCTCATTATTATTATTATTATTATTATTATTATTATTATTATTATTATTATGGTATTTCTGCCTCTTTCATAAAGACTCAAAGAGGTTGCCTATAATATGCTTTCACCCTCCTTCCTGGGTGTTTATGAAACATCAATTAATTGTGTGTTTAGCCTTAGATCTCTCTCTCTCTCTCTCTCTCTCTCTCTCTCTCTCTCTCTCTCTCTCTATATATATATATATATATATATATATATATATATATACTAGCTGTCCCCTGCCATGCATTGCTGTGGCCCATTCTAGTGATCTGGAAAATAAAGTAATGAGAAAATGTTGGTTTCGAATATATGTAATTTCTTTATGCTTGTGAGTAAACGGTATTTCCTGGTGTTTCTTTGTCAGTGTTGATGTAGAGATTGTCTGGTTTGCCTACTTTGGAACATGGAACGTATAATTGTCCTTCAAATCTATGATATGATATCTGTTGTATACATATATATGTGTGTGTGTGAACCATATCTATCTATATCTATGGCTGGATGTTTCTTTTTCAGGAGGGCTTTGATATTTTTTTGCCCTGGTGAAGGGAGTTGGACTGGATGGCCTTAAGGCATTTCTCAATCTGGGGGGGAGGGGGGAGTCACGAGGGGGGTGTCAGAAGGGTCGTCAAAGACCACCAGAAAACACAGTATTTTTTGTTGGTCATAGGGGTTCTGTGTGGGAAGATTATTATTATTATTATTATTATTATTATTATTATTATTATTATTATTACACTTTATTTGTACCCTGCTAGCATCTCCCAAAGGACTCGATAAGGCTTACAAAGGCCAAGGCCTCAACAACACAATAGCATAAAAATACAATTCAAAGCAAATCAAAAACATTACAGCAATAACAGTAAAAACAACAAAACAATACAGCATAACACAATAAAAACAGGGCCGGGTCAAGTAATGGGTACAAATTAAAAAGTGCTGGATATGACAGGTGGTCTATCGGATTTCAAGGAAGTGCAGTGTGCAGAGAATCTATGTTAGACCCCTTGCCAATTTGGTTCGGAGATTCGGCCTGGACTGCTATCAATATGCGGACGACACCCAACTCCTGTTGCGCTTGGATCCTGGAGTAACGTCAATACCTGACAATTTCACCTTATGCCTGGAGGCTTTGTTGAACTGGCTACATGCTAGCAGACTGAAGGTGAATCCAACGAAGACTAAGATCCTGTGGTATGGCCGCCCAATAGGTCTGACCCATCCGTTCCCTACCTTTGATGGCACTGCTCTATCTCTATCGCCTACCGTTAAGAGTCTAGGTGTCGTTTTGGATTCGCAGCTGACGATGGAGGGTCAGGTTGCTGCTTCCAGCAAACAGGCCTTTTTCCATCTACGACAAGCGAGGCAACTGGCACCTTACCTGTCGGATGAGGCTCTGGCAACAGTCATCCATGCCGCGGTCACATCTAGGCTGGACTATTGTAACGCCTTGTATGTTGGCCTTCCTATTTCTACGACCCAAAAGCTCCGTATTGTCCAGAATGCTGCAGCCAGGTTACTCACAAAAACGCCCATGAAATGCCATATAACACCAGTGCTGCGGCATCTACACTGGCTCACAATTGAGTATCGTGGTTTGTATAAGATGCTGGTCCTGACCTTTAAAACTTTATATGGCCAGGGTCCATTGTATCTTAGAGACCGTCTCTCCTTCTACCATCATCAGAGGTCGCCACGACCATCCCAGTGCGATCTGCTCTATATACTGGGTCCTAGGGAAGTGCACTTGGAAAGCACCAGACGCAGGGCCTTCTCTATATCTGCCCCTGCCTTGTGGAATTCCTTGCCTCCCTATTTGAGAGCCATGTGCGACTTGGGGTGTTTTATCCTGGCACTTAAGACCTGGCTTTTTACTGGAGCATTCGACTCATGTTATTTTTAATATTTGTATGTATGTGTTTTATCCTGTGTAATTTCTGCAGTGTAAATCGCCTGGAGCATCTCGGATGGAAGGTGATTAATAAGTAATTAAAGATGAGATGAGATGAGAATATTAAAGATCTGATAAAGTGCTTCTGGGACTCTAATAAAGTGCTTACTGGAGTTTTCCTATGCATATATACATATATATGGGGCATGTGTGATTTATTAAAAAATGCCTCAAAAGTCTTACAAAACTAGGGGTGGGGGGGTGGGGCTTCATTCTAAAGTGTTTCGGAAGTATACTTATTTTAAAAAACCCGTTACTATAATGGGACTAATGAAATTTTGTTACTATTTCGTTACTCCCTCATTTTTAAAGCTATTGGGGTGAAACCTGCTACAATGGTAGAACACATTTACCACTCCTTGCCCATCAAGTTTCACAATGTTTCATTATTCGTTGATTTTTGGAATTTTTAAAGTTTTTATAAACAACATCTTTTAAAAAACTGCAAGAGCTATCTACTCGTAGTTTATATACAACACACAAGATAACCAGGGCACCAATCCCCAGGAATTTCAGAAAGATTCACACATCTACAGATTTTTGGGGATTTTTAAATGTTTGGACCAAAACAATTTATCCCCAAAAGCGACAACAGCTTTTGGGGATTTTGAATGTCCATCTGTCTTTATGACAGAACCACATAGCTTCAACTTAGCATAGATTTATACTATCACTTACTTTAGTCCTCTTTGCAGATTCAGTAGTTTTATTTATTATTAGACTGATTCTAAACTCTAAACGGCTGACTGGCTGCCCCCACAATGCCTTCCTTAAAGCAACGAGCCAAAGTAAAAGGAATGGCTTTTAAAGCACTTTATGTTCTCTTGGCTTTGTCAAAATTGCTTAATGCTTGGTTACTTTAGTCTTCTTTGCAGATTCAATAATTTAATTTATTATCATTAGACTAACTCTAAGCGGTGACTGCTGCAGCCAGCTATCATTTGGGTCCTTCAGCCCTCATTTGGGTCCTGAGCACCATTGCATTCTGGGAAATGTAGTTTATGGGAGGGCCTTTTACATTCTCTGCCACCAGAGGCCTCGCTTTCCAAAACTACATTTAATATGGCTGTGTTCTCAATCCCCATTAAGTTTAGTCCCACCCACAGCACAATGCTGCTTTAAGTAAAATAGTTTTTGAGACAAGCTGGGTGTTGTTTCTGGTTCATCTCTGCCTTCATACCAGCAGAGCCCTAGATCCTGACATCGGCTGCCTATGAAAATAGAGGCATCTCACCTTCTGCCGCCTTCTGCACCATGGTCGCCTCCATTGGCAGCACACAAGAGAACAGTGGCAAGGCGTCACTCTCCTCTGAAGGCTCTTCCTTCAGGTTTTTTTTGTCGGGTTTCTTCCCCAGGAGTCTCCGCAAGGGGCTCTTGAAGGTGGGTCTGGCAGGAGAAGAAAGGGGGATCCATGTGGAGTCAACACAGAAAAGCAGCAGGGGAGAGTACGGTCCATTTGGCAACCCAGGAGGGACTCCAACCCTATCTGGTGTGGCAGAAAGGGCTGGGAAAGAACCGGGTAAGATGGTCCAGGGTGAGCTCACCTAGCAGTTTGAAAGCAAAATGTGAGTAGATAAATAGGTACTGCTTCTGCCTACCTAGCAGTTTGAAAGCAAAATGTGGGTAGATAAATAGTTACTGCTTAAAAAGTATTTAAGGCACCCATAAGGAAATACCAGAAAAATGCCGATGATTCAGTCAAGGAGGAAGTTTACGAACAAAGCTCTTCAGCAGGGAGATGGAGTGGCAGCAGTCCCCATGGCCGGAACCGAGCACAAGCCTCCAAGATGCCAAAGATGGGAAAAGCTTATACACACCTCTATCTAGGTACAATTATCTGTCTTGTTATTGTATAATGGCAATGAATGTTTGCTGCACATGTGTTATGTGATACGTCCTGAGTCCCGTTCAGGGTGAGAAGGACAGAATATAAATACTGAAAATAAATAAAAAAACTTAAACTGCTCTTATCTCAAAGCACATTTGTCCACTGAAATGCTATTAATCTTTTTTCTGGGGTTCCAAACTCACCCCACCCCCACTTTTTTGTTACGTGTTTTTAAATAAGAAAATAATGTATAAATGCACATTCACAAAGCACAATAAAAAAGAAAAAACATCTTTAAAAAGTTAGAAGCACCAAGTTGTGGCAAGGAAGCACAAACGGAAGAAGCAGAAGCATTATTGTTTTCCTACTGTACTCCTTCCAGCCTCCCTTGCTCTCCCTCACTCTTTCTCCCTTCAAGAAGCCAAACATACCGAGAATAGAAACCATACAAAATCAACTAACCCAATATTCCTCAAAGCGGGCAAGAGCAAATCAGACAGTAATCTCCCAAAGCAGTCAAGGGCACAAGGTCTGAGGCCAGAAGGCTGCTCCCTTGAAGCCCTGAAACCCTGAACTCTTGCACTTGCTCTTATCTCAAACACTGCTCTTATATCAAAGCAACACCTAGCCTGAGCAACAGCTCTTAACTCAAAATGCTATTTACTCAAAATGTTCTTAAATCAAGGTTCCAAAGTATTTGGAATGGGTTTGCTCCCTTCCCAGCAAGATCCTACTCCAATAACTCATTTATCTCTGGCCTGGAGGCAGAGCAGACTTACTTGGCATCCCCTTGTTGGCCAGGTACCGACGTAGGGCTGGTCGCTTCGGGGCCAAGGAGGGGCTCCCCAGCTTTTCGTGGCTGCTTTTTGTGACTCCTGTCACCCTCTGTTGTGTCTGCTGAAGACTGCTGAAGAGAAAAAGGAAACCTTGCTTAAATCACACTCTCTTGGGTCAGATTTGTCCCTCGCTTCTTTTGGGGACAACAGTCATAAAAGGAACTCTCGTACCTGGCTGGTGGAGGCAGACAAGGTGATCCGGGGGATGTCGTCCAAGGAAGACGCCATCTCTTTCTTTCTGTAAGAGCGAGGAAGAGAAAAGATGGAACTGCATACTTTTCGAAAACAGATACCGGAGGAGGACAATGACATAGAGCCATTGAAAGGCAAACAACATAGAGTGTCCTATGTTGTTTGCCTTTCATATAAAAACATGGGAATCAGCAACAAGGAAAACCTGGAATGTACCCTGTTTACTCAAATCGAATGCTCAACCTATTTTGGCTAAATAACAGCAAGGACAAGAGCAATGACTTTTCCTGCCTGTTCCCTTAAAGCCCTGCTTAATTAAGATGGCGGGTGGTGGACTCTTGCATTCGCTAGTAACTCTGATCTCGGCTTGCATGTCAAAGCAAAAAACCAATGGACAGCTCGAATCTCAAGGTTTCACTGTACATAAAATTAAGACATCATGATGGACAGGAGGCGATTGGGAAGAGCTCTAGTCAAAGGGAGGGTTATTTTATATATATATATTTATTATTCACATTATATCTATTTATACCCCGCTTTTTACTCAACAAGGAGATTCAAAGCAGCTTACATCATCATCATCATCATCATCATCATCTTTATTTATACCCCAACTTTCTCCCCGTGGGGACTCAAAGTGGCTAACAACTCCATACTTAGTTTAAATGTTTTAAAAATATTTGAAAAAAAATTAAAATCAACAAATATCCAAACATAAAAACAGAATTACGTATCATTGGTATTTTTAAAAAATCAGTTAAAATCCATTAAAAACCTACTTGAAACTAAAGCACAGTTGGTTAATCACCAGCAGCTATAGATTTTACAAATTGAAAGATTGGCAGTTCGAAGCCTGGGATGGGGTGACCACCTGACCTTCAACCCAGCTTAGTGTCCACCTAAGCAGTTCAAAAACAGCTGTGAGTAGAGAAATTAGGCACTGCTTAAGCAGGAGGGTATTTAAAGGAAATGCCGGCAATCAAAGGAAGGAGGAAATCTGTGATCAAGGGCTCTTTGTCACAGAGGATGGAGCAACTGCACCCCTATGGCTGGAATCGAGCACAACCTCCAGGATGCCGAAATTGGGAAAAATGCAGACATAAAACCTCTATCTGTTTGCCATGTATGTGTTCTGTGATCTGTCCTGAGTCCCCTTTGGGGTGAGAAGGGTGGAATATAAATGTAAATAAAAAAAATAACTCCAACCCTTGAAGTTAGCTTCAACGTGGGGCTCCTGAGCTTCTGTAGATCTTGCCCTCTCCTCAAGAAAAAAAAATGATGCTTCGATCACTAGCTCATTAGAGATAAAACTCTAGAGATATAAAGGGACAAATGGCCACCCTTCCCAGTAGGGGTGTGCGAAACGGCAGAAGACCATCAAGGGCTGCTGTGATTTTGTGATGTGATTTTATATGCTTTTATGGTTTTAACTTGGACTGTTTTAATTTGTTTCCCCGTGTCAGGAGCGACTTGAGAAATGGCAAGTTGCTTCTGGTGTGAGAGAATTAGCCATTGCCCAGGGGATGCCCAGATGTTTTACCATCCTTGTGGGAGGCTTCGCTCATGTCCCGCATAGAGAGCTGGAACTGACAGAGGGAGCTCACCCACGCTCTCCCCTGATTTAAACCTCTGACTTGCTGGTCTTCAGTCCTGCCAGCACTAGGGTTTAACCCATTGTGCCACCGGGGCTCCTGACTGTTTTATTATTAATGTTTAATGCTGTTTTAATATTTATATATAGTTGTATTGAAAAGCTGTGAGCCACTTTGAGTCTCCGTATGGAGAGAAAAAAACGGGAATTAAAGAAACATAAACATTATTATTATTATTATTATTATTATTATTATTATTATTATTTACAGCTTTTATATTCCGCCCTTCTCACCCCGCAGGGGACTCAGGGCGGATTACAGTGTACACATATATGGCAAACGTTCAATGCCAATTTTTCTGCATTCCCCGCTGGAATGCTTTGCTGGAGTCTTCTTTATGGCCTCATAAATCAGTTAATTTAGCCTCCCCACACTTTTTAAGGTGGTACCTTATTTTCCTACTTGACAGTTGCAACTGTCTTTTGGGTTGCAAAGGTTGACAACAGGCTACACATAATTGGTTGGAAACCCACTCCAACCTGGGCTGGCTTCGAACTCATGACCTTTTGGTCAGAGTGATCTTAATGCAGCTGACACTCAGCCAGCTGCGCCACAATCCTGGTGCGGCTTAATAATAATAACATAATAATAATAATAATAATAATAATAATAATAATAATAATAATAATAATAATCCTGTTTTAATTCTGTTTTCGTTTCAAATGTCAGGTGCCCCCCCGTGTTCTGTTTTTGGGCAGATTCTGGGAGATTAGGAGGAGGGCTGTTCAGATTTGTAGTTCAGAATCCAGGGGAAGAATTTTCCTGAAAAAACAAGGGGACGGAATACGACCCAAAATTCGAAACGATAACAGAACAGATTTCCGCCATTTCGTAAACCCGTACTTCCCAGCTCTTCCTTCCTCAGTCAGAGCTCACTACTCACATCAGCTGCGGAGGCGAAGAGGGGCTCTTCTGCCCACTGCTCTTCTCGTCCAAGGACTGGCTGAGCGCCCCTCCGCCCTGCCCGCCGCCCTGCTGCCGCTTCCCCTTCCAGCGCTCCCGCTTGTCCCGCAGCTTCTCCGGGTCGTCCTGGTAGCGCTGGATTAAGAATGTGGGTGGGCTGCCGGCCTCCTTGGCCGCCCAAGGTTTCCCGCTGTCGCTGTGGCCGCGGAAGCTCTGGCTGGTGGAGAGGCTGCTTGGCAGGTTCAGAGCCAAATCCGTGGGCCGTTCAGGGCAGGTGAAGCTTTGGCTGCCCCGGATCTTGGGGCTGTGCCCCCTCCCGGGGTCCTCTCTCTCGGGGCCGTGTTCCCCTCTCGATGCTGGGGGCATGATGGGGATCCAAGGGTCACCACCATTCAGAGGGAGGGGATCTGGTCTGCCCTCTGCCCTTTTGGGGGAGTCGACTGCCCCCTTTGCCACATTCGTAGAAAACTCTTGGACGCTTCCTTCCTTTGCTTCCTCGCCAAGTGAACCCCCTTCCCCACCGGGTTGCTCCTCGAAGGGAAAGGCCACGTGTTTGTTCTGTAGTTGGTTGTGCTCCAGTCCCCGCTGCCGGCGGGATTCCCGCTTCTCCCTGCTGCTGTTCTGCGAGGGACGAGAGGACTGCTTTCCTGCTTCCTCGTTCTCCATCGCGTTGCTGCCACTGCCCTCCGCCTCCGCCCGCTTCCCCTCAGGCTCCGCAGGGAGCGCCCCCTCCAAAATGGGCTCCTCGTGCTCATCCAGTCCATTCTCTTTCCCATGACAGCGCCGCCTTTCTTTCTCCTCTTCTTCTTCTTTGCGTTTCTTATCAGCAACCATTTGATGGAACCTAAAGGTTTCAGGGGAGAAAGAGCCATTCATTTAGTGCAGGGGTCCTCAAACTTTTTAAACATAGGGCCAGGTCACGGTCCCTCAAACTGTTGGAGGGCCGGATTATAACGTGAAAAAAACAAACAAACATGAATGAATACCTATGCACACTGCACATATCTTATTTGTAGTGCAAAAAAACAACACTTTAAAACAATACAATAGATAAAGAACAATTTTAACAGATAAAAGCTTATTAGTATTTCAATGGGAAGTGTGGGCCTGCTTTTGGCTGAAGAGATAGGATTGTTGTCACCTAACAACCTCTGAGGATGCCTGCCATAGATCAGTGGTTCTCAATCCTCCTAATGCCGCGACCCCTTAATACAGTTACTCATGTTGTGATGACCCCCAGCCATAAAATTATTTTTGTTGCTACTTCAGAACTGTAATTCTGCTCCTGTTATGAATTGTAATGTAAATATCTTAAATACAGAATGTATTTCATTCACTGGACCAATTTGGCACAAATATCTGATACGCCGACATTTGAATGATGGTGGGATTGGGGGAGGGTTGATTTTGTCATTTAGGAGATGGGATTTATAGTTCACCTACAATCAAAGAGCATTCTGAACTCCACTAATGATGGAATTGAACTAAACTTGGCACACAGAACTCCCACGTCCAACAGAAAATACTGGAAGGGTTTGGTGGGCATTGACCTTGAGTTTTGGAGTTGTAGTTCACCTACATCCAGAGAGCACTGTGGACTCAAACAATGATGGATCTGGACCAAACTTGGCACAAATACTCAATATGCTCAAATTGTGAGCACAGGTAGAGTTTGGGGAAAATAGACATTTACATTTGGGAGTTGTAGTTACTAGGATTTATAGTTCACCAACAATCAAAGAGCATTCTGAACCCCACCAATGATAGAACTGGGCCAAACTTCCCACACTGAACGCCCATGACCTTGCGCCGCCTGCCCCCTCCCCAGGCTGAGCCTGCCTTCTCCCGGCTTCAGGATGGGGTCTCGCCCCGTCCTGAAGCTGGGAGAAGGCTGGGGAGGCGGCAGGTGGTGCGGCTTTCGGTCCGCGCCCCCTGCCGCCTCCCCAACCGGGCCTGCCTTCTCCCGGCTTCAGGATGGGGTCTCGCTCCATCCTGAAGGTGGGAGAAGGCGGGGGAGGCGGCAGGCAGTGCGGCTTTCGGCCCGTGCCGCCTGCCCCCTCCCCAACCGGGCCTGCCTTCTCCCAGCTTCAGGATGGGGTCTCGCCCCATCCTGAAGGCGGGAGAAGGCGAGGGAGGCGGCAGGCAGCGCGGCTTTTGGCCTGCGCCACCTGCCCCCTCCCTAACCGGGTCTGCCTTCTTCCGGCTTCAGGATGGGGTCTCGCCCTGTCCTGAAACCAGGAGAAGGCGGGGGAGGCGGCAGGCGGCGCAGCTTTGGGCGCAGCTTTGGCCTGCCGCTTCTCCAGCCCCCGCGGGCCGGATAAATGCCCTCGGGGGGCCGGGTCTGGCCTGCGGGCCGTAGTTTGGGGACCCCTGATTTAGTGTTACCCATTTTTATTGCATGGTGCAAGTCAACATGCGAGTGCGGAGAAGAGCAAACCACAGAACACCTGTAACAATGCAGCTTGAGCTCTGCCACATGCACAATGGGTGACCTCCTTATAGTGACACCAGAGGCCCTCCAAGTGACCAGCTCCTGGTCAAAGGACATTTAATATAATGCCAAGATTTTAAACTTCGTTTATGTTTTTAAATACATTACAACTGTACTCTCAGTTCACTTCTGACACGATAAATAAAATAACCCATTTTTTATTATTATAGTCAAAGTTTTCAGTTTAAGTCTTCAGTAATACTGACTTCTAACTATGTTATTGACTAGTTAAATATTGAATTTTACTGGGCATTGCCTAGCCCACATCTGACTAGTTTGCTTGCAAGAAGGTCATGGGGGACTTTGTCGAAGGTCTGGAGAACAAATCCTATGAGGAGCGGCTTAAGGAGCTGGGCATGTTTAGCCTGAAGAAGAGAAGGCTGAGAGGAGATGTGATAGCTATGTATAAATCTGTGAGAGGAAGTCACAGGGAGGAGGGAGCAAGCTTGTTTTTTGCTGCCCTGGAGACTAGGACGCGGAACAATGGCCTCAAACTACAAGAAAGGAGATTCCATCTGAACATAAGGAAGAACTTCCTGACTGTGAGAGCTGTTCAGCAGTGGAACTCTCTGCCCTGGAGTGTGGTGGAGGCTCCTTCTTTGGCAGCTTTTAAACAGAGGCTGGATGGCCATCTGTCAGGGGTGCTTTGAATGCAATATTCCTGCTTCTTGGCAGGGGGTTGGACTGGATGGCCCATGAGGTCTCTTCCAACTCTATGATTCCTGAAATCAAGATATTTTACATCCACAGCATTCCCTACATCTACCAAGCTTGTAACTCTAGAAAAAAAAGAGATCAGATAAGTCTGTCATGACTTGTTATTGAGCATTCCCTGAATCTACCAAGCTTGTAACTCTATATAAAAAAAGAGATGAGTCTGACTTGTTTTTGATAAATCTATGTTGACTTAATAATCCCAACATTCCTTTCTAAGTAATTGCATACTGGATCCTTCATGATCTGCTCCAGAATCTTTCCTGGTATGTCAAGCTGACTGGAGGGTAATTGTTTGGGTCCTCTTTGTTTCTCTTCTTGAAGATCGGGACCACATTTATTTATTTATTATTATTATTTATTTACAGTATTTCTATACCACTTTTCTCACCCCTAGGGGGACTCAAAGCGGTTTACACATAACTGACAAAACTTCAGTGCCATACATTGGACACTGACGCGATGCCAAACCATAACAACCACAATAATAAAACCACAATTAAACATAAATCATAATTAGACAGTACATAAGCAATCATTAAATCAATAAATAATAAAAACAGTCTCGCCAGTCATATTGTCATTCTAGTCCATGTCCATTTGCCCTCCTCCACCCTGCTGAGACTTCTCCTATTCTCCAAGAATTCCCAAAGATTATTGCCAGTGATTCTGAAACAACTTCTGCTAGGTTCCTTCAATACTCTTGGATGTAGTTCAAACAAACAAAATAAAACCCTGTTTGTTTCCAGCTGGAAATCCACATTTGCGAAGCAAGCTCTTTGACTCCTGATTCCCTCACTCTTCCTGATTCCCTCACTCTTAAGTATTTCCCCCCCAGAAAATTATTGCTTTCATGCATTCCTACCCCATGCGGACTTACCGCCCTTTATTTAGGCTCAACATATAAGCCCCTTGCCCCGCTCACCTCTTGCGCTGGAGGCGTCCCCGGGCCAGAGCTTGGAGGAGGCAAATCCTCTGCTTGCACTGCCGGAAAGACTTTCGCTGCCTGTATCCCCGCCAGGTTGATTGGATGTAGACAGCGGCGTTCTCCTTCTCCAAGGCCCTCCGGATGCGATAGGAGCGCCAGCAAGCCTATGGTCAAGGAATTCTGAATTAAAAGGCGTGTATAGCTTCACAGATAGGGAGCCTCAGCCCTAGGGTCAAATCCAGATGCCCTCACCTCAATAATAATAATAATAATAATAATAATAATAATAATAATAATAGGTGAAGGTTTTCCCCTGACATGAAGTCCAGTCGTGTCCGACTCTTGGGGTGGTACTCATCTCCATTCCTAAGGTAATGTGGCTTGTATGACTGCATGGAGTGCTGTTACCTTTCCACCGGAGCGGTACCTATTGATCTACTCACATTTGCATGTTTTTGAACTGCTAGGTTGGCAGAAGCTGGGGCTATTCTGCTGTGGTTAGACCACACCTGGTATCATACTGTGTCCAATTCTGGGCACCGCAATTGAAGGGAGATGTTAACAGGCGGGAATGTGTCCAGAGGAGGGTGACTCAAAGGATCAAGGGTCTGGAGAACAAGCCCTATGAGGAGCGGCTTAAGGAGCTGGGCATGTTTAGCCTGAAGAAGAGAAGGCTGAGAGGAGATATGATAGCCATGTATAAATATGTGAGAGGAAGCCACAGGGAGGAGGGAGCAAGCTTGTTTTCTGCTTCTTTGGAGACTAGGACGCAATGGAACAATGGCTTCCAAACTACAAGAGAGGAGATTCCATCTGAACATGAGGAAGAACTTCCTGACTGTGAGAGCCGTTCAGCAGTGGAACTCTCTGCCCCGGAGTGTGGTGGAGGCTCCTTCTTTGGAAGCTTTTAAACAGAGGCTGGATGGCCATCTGTCAGGGGTGATTTGAATGCAATATTCCTGCTTCTTGGCAGGGGGTTGGACCGGATGGCCCATGAGGTCTCTTCCAACTCTTTGATTCTATGGCCATACAGCCTGGAAAACTCACCACAACCCATTGATTCCGGACATGAAAGTCTTCGACAATACATTGTCTTGGGAAAAGTTTGAATCTAGACTCCCGAGGACTTTCATGGCATTCATTCAGCCCTCTGGTTGAAAGGGGCAGAGAATCGGGGGGGTGCCCGAGAGGGCCGTACCTGCAAAGTGAGGGCCGCCTGAAGCATGCGGAGGAAGCGCCTGCGTTCCAGCACCATCCGCAGCCAGCTCTGAAGGACAACGATCTTGCGGATGACCTCTTTGTGGAGGGTGTCCTGCAGCACCTGTCGAGCCGCCTCCTTCATGAATACCTGCGGGGTGGCAAGAACAACAGCCCTCAGATTCGTCCCTCTTCCCTTTCCCATTTAGAACGGGGCCAGTGGGAGGAAGAGCGGGTCATACCCAGCCATGACAAGAATGGGTGTCTGCTCTGAGTGTTGACGCACAGTGCCCCAAGATCACTAGTCTCTTTGATTTCCCAATCAGAAAGAGAATGTCTTAAGGGGAAACGCTGAGAATTTTCTCAAGTCCCTGTTGAAGCACCGTGCCCCAACATTTCTAGTCTTTTTGCTTTCCCAATCAGAAACAGGAATTTATTTATTTATTTATTTATTTAGAGCTTTTATAACCCGGTCTTCTCGACCTCCAAGGAGGGACTCAGGCCGGCTGACAACAGAGAATCAATATACAAATAAGCTAAAGCATAATAACATCATAGTACATTAATACATTAGAACACATTAAAATACAGATCAAGAATTACATAAAGCCAATTCGTCAAGGCAAATCATACATTCACCACCATCCGCCTTGTGGTCAACAGTTATTGATTCGATCATCAATCTGAGAATGCTAAGTTCCAGAGCCAAGATTTTACCATCTTTCTAAAGGTCAGGAGGGAAGGGGCAGTTCTAATCTCCAATGGGAGAGAGTTCCACAGCCGAGGGGCCACCACTGAGAAGGCCTTGTCTCTCATCCCCACCAGACGCGATTGCGAGGGTGGTGGGACCGAGAGCAGGGCCCCTCCAGAAGATCTTAACAACCTTGATGGTTCGTAGGTAAGAATCCGTTTGGACAGGTAAACTGGGCCGGAGTCGTTTAGGGATTTATAGGTCAACACCAGCACTTTGAATTGTGCTCGGAAGCTAATTGGCAGCCAGTGGAGTTGGCGCAACAGAGTAGTAGTATGCTCCCTGTACCCCGCTCCTGTTAGTAATCTGGCTGCCGCACGTTGGACTAGTTGTAGCTTCTGGGCAGTCTTCAGAGGCAGTCTTCAGAGGATGTAACCAGAGCATGGACCACCGTGGCCAATCAGACTTTCCAAGGTACGGGCGCAGCTGGTGCACAAGTTTTAATTGTGCAAAAGCTCCCCTGACCACCGCCAAGACCTGGGGTTCCAGGCTCAGCGATGAGTCCAGGATCACTCCCAAACTGCGAACCTGCGCCTTCACCCGTCAAGCACAGGTTGTAACCCTATACCCTGTTCGGAAGTCTTTAAGGGAAATACTGAGAATTTTCTCAGGTCCCTGTTAGGGTGCCAAAAGTGTTAAGGCACCGTGCCCCAATATCTATAGTCTAACAGGAGGTCTTAAAGGGAAACATCAAGATTTTTCTCAAGTCCTTGTTCGGGTGCCAAAACCGTTGAGGCACCGTGCCCCAATATCTCTAATCTCTTTGCTTTACCAATCAGAAACAGGACATTTATTCATTTATTTTTTATTTACTATATTTATATACCGCCCCTCTCAGCCCAAAGGCGACTCGGAGCGGTTCACAAATTGGCAACAATTTGATGCCTCAACAATTATAACAAGTAAAAACAATCAAGAAATTCCGTTAAACACAATAGCATCTATATAAATAAAAATGTCATGTTCGTTTGTGGGATTAACAGAACTCAAAAACCACTGGACGAATTGACACCAAATTTGGACACAAGACATCTAACAACCCTATGTATGTCCTTCACTCAAAAAAAAATGATTTTGTCATTTGGGAGTTGTAGTTGCTGGGTTTTATAGTTCACCTACAATCAAAGAGCATTCTGAACTTCACCAATGAGGGAATTGAAGCAAACTTGGCACACAGAACTCCCATGACCAACAGAAAATACTGGAAGGGTTTAGTGGGCAGTGTCCTTTGGTTTTGGAGTTGTAGTTCACCTACATCCAGGGATCACTGTGGACTCAAACAATGATGGATCTGGACCAAAACTTGGTACGAATACTCAATATGCCCAAATGTGAACACTGGTGGAGTTTGGGGAAAATAGAATCTTGACATTTGGGAGTTGTAGTTGCTGGGATTTATAGTTCATCTACAGTCACAGAGCATTCCGAACCCCACTAACAATAGAACTGGGCCAAACCTCCCACACAGAATCCCCATGTGGACCACTGCAACGCGTGGCAGGGGACGGCTAGTATGATATAAAAAATATAAAAACTGTACAAAGCCTTAAAACATTATCGTGAGCATCTCCATGTCAAATCGCTATTCCATTGTGTTACCAAGTAGTTCCATAATTCTGTTTAGCTATGCCGAATTTGGCAAGGCCTGCTCAAAAAGCCAGTTTTTCACCTTTTTTCGAAAAGTCAGGAGGGAGGGAGCTGATCTTATATCTCTAGGCAGGGCATTCCACAGTCAAGGGGCGGCACCGTCCCCCGATATCTCTAGTTTCTTTCATTTCCCAATCAAAGACTAGAAACAAGGGGATTAAAATACAATACAGTGATATCTTGAGTTTTTTGTTTTGTTTTTTTTGTCGTGTCAGGAGCAACCGCTCCTGTTGTGAGAGAATTGGCCGTCTGCAAGGACGTTGCCCAGGGGACACCTGGATGATTTTTGATGTTTTATCATCCTTGTGGGAGGCTTCTCTCATGTCCCCGTATGGGGAGCTGGAGCTAATAGAGGGAACTCATCCGCCTCTCCCCAGATTCGAACCTGCGACCTGTCGGTCTTCAGTCCTGCCGGCACAGGGGTTTAACCCACTGCGCCACCGGGGGGGCTCCTTTTTGAGTTAAGAGTTTAATTCGTACCATGCTCTTAACTCAAATCGCTGATCTCAAAGTGAATTTTTCACATTGAAATGCTATTAATCGGTTCCAGCTCCCAGATCCCCCCCCCAAATTGTTTTGTTACATGTTTTTAAATAACCAATAATGTATAAATGCACATTCACATGGAAAAATAAAAAGATAATCTTTAAAATGGTAGAAGCACAAAGTTGTGGCAAGGAAGCACGAAGTGAAGAGGAAGAAACATCATTTTCTTATTCCTCCTGTCCTCATTCCAGCCTCCTTTCTTCCCTCTCTCTCCCTTCCTCCTCTCCGTTCAAGAAGCCAAACCTACCGGGAATAAAAAACTACACAAAATCTGTTGTGCAGAGCGTGTTTTAGCCAAGTGCCATGCAAAAGACACACTGGCAAGAGGAAAAAAGGAACAGAAAAACTTTACTCTTATCAGCAGAGGCATAAACTTGCAGTGTCGCATACAAAATCAAACAGTGCAATAAACTTACATAGTTCCTGTAAGTAACACAGAATAAGGCTTCTCCTTCTTCATTCAAATGAGAGAGCAAAACATAAACCTTGAGTAAATAGCTATTCCACCATAGGAAAGAGCATCGCTGTTAGAGCATAGCAGCATTACAGCATATTGCTTCTCCAAAGTGTATTCTAATATCTATACAGTTATACCCCACCAGGTGTGGCTCAAACATGCTGGCTGACCTACATTACCAGCTGTACATAATAATTAACATCATAGGTTTTTCTTTAACACACACTTGATCCTGCTACGACTTACTGTAACAAAATCAACTAACGAAAGTCCCTCAAAGCAGACAAGAGCAAAGCGGACAGCAATCTCCCAAAGCAGGCAAAAACATGAGGCACGAAGCCTGCAAGCGGATTCCTAGAAGCACTCGCTCATAAGTCAAAAGGTTCCTTGTATGTCAAAGCAAAAGCCAGACCGAGTGGTGCCTTGTAACACAAAATGCTCATAAATTGGGACGCTCATAAGTTGAGGTTCCACTGTATTGTATTTTAATCTCCTCGATTCCTAGTCTTAATTGGGAAGTAAACAAAGAAATAGAGATATATAAGAAGGCACTGGGCACCAACACCGCCACTTCCATCACCTCCCAGGAAACATGAACAGAGGGAAGACAGGTTTGACGAGAGAGACAGCTCCTTGTCACGGCCACAGACAGACCTTGGTCTTTCCAATTTGGTAGCTGTTGGGGTCCAGCTGCAGCCTGGTCAACAGGGGACGGATCTCCTCCTTGGAAGCCTTGGCATTCTTGGGTAGCAGCACTTGGAACTGGTCAACAAAATCCTGAGAAGACAAGAAGTGACAGGAAGCCAGTTCGGCTGTGAACTTGAATAGATAGATAGAAAGCAGAGTTGGAAGTACAAGGGGAAGATCCCAAGAGACATCCAGTCCATCTTCAATGCA